TTTAATTGCACACTTATTTTTTTTATGTAGACTAAGCATATGTTAAGATAAGGTAGTATTTTTATCAATTTTGACAAGCAACATTTTTTTATTAAAATAATCCTATATTATTTTATATGTATGTCTGTCGATGTATGAGCCACCTATTTTCTTTAACCCTAGCCTAGAGTTTCAATTTTGATACCAATATTTAAACAGAATGTTCACATTACTATTAGTTTTTTTTTAGGTTGGCTGTACCTATTTTACTGTTGTATAATATTCTTTCCAACGAAATTAAAAAAAATCATTATTGTTTTATTTTATCAAGCAAACACATTATAATATTAAAAATAAATCACTTTCGTATTTAAATCAGGCTACTAAGGGTTAATTTCTTATAAGTAATGGTAGTTGTTATTTAAATATTTGGAGACGAAAATCATGACTAATTCACAGTGGCATATACAATCTGTATTTTATCAAATTCCTTTAAGATTACGATAATCTATATTCCCCTTTAAGTCTGCTAATTTATCTTTACTGTAACAAGCGATTCTTGAATTTGACTTGCTGTAAATGTTTTGATTATGCGAATCATGGTTTGCCTCGTATTGCAACCTGTCAAACTTTATTACACCAATTTGGTTCTTATCACAAAAGTCGTTAAACATGTGACGCACGCGACCTTAAATCGTTTGAAATGATTTAATCACATGTAAAACGTGTAAGAAATGGTTTATTTCAAAGTTAATTTTTAAGATTATTTAGATCTTATCTTACTAATATTATAAATACGAATGTTTCATCATCAGCTCACTATACGTCCCCACCGAGGGGCTCGGAGCCTACCCTAAGTTAAGGATGATTAGGCCATAGTCAACCACGCTGGCCAAGTGCGGGTTGGTGGACTTCACACATATCTTTGAATTTCTTCTCAGATATGTGCAGGTTACATTACGACCTTTTCCTTCACCGTAAGAACGTCGGATAAATGTACATATGTAAATCGGAAATCGAAAAACACATTGGTACATGGCGGGATTCGAACCCAGGACCTGCAGATTGCAAGTCAAGTGCTTGACCACTGAGCCACCGACGCTCTACGAATGTTTAGATGGATGGATTAATCTTTGAAGGTATCTCCAGAACCACGGAACGGATTTCGATGAAATTAGGCATACGTTTAGAACATTGCCTGGAGGAACACATAGACTATTTATGGTTTTTTTTTCAATTCAGCTCGGACTGAGTCGCGGGCGACAGTTAGTATATAAACAAGTATAAAAGGTGTTAAAGTAATGATATCAAATATTGATAAATGTTTTTGTATGCAATTAGCGAGAAATACAAGACATAGCTAATTCAATACAACTTAATATAATATCAAGAACAAATGTAAACAAACAACGTGTATTAGGAACCTTGGCATTTACATAGACAAGTAAACTGCGCTTCGACAATATATTTGGACAAAAAAACGAGAAAATATTTAAAAATACTTGTATATATAAACGCATAAGGATGTTTACTTAAAACTGATATTCTTTGAAGTTTAAAAATTCATTATTTCTTAGAAAAATGTTGATGGCTACAAAGTTAGAGGAAGACCAAAAAAAGTACGGAATAATTGTGTTAAATAAGATATGTGTGGGAAGGGGGTAGATTCGGATATAACGGCTGATAGAGATGTATGGAGAAGTACATACTGTGCCAACGCTCAATAGGGATAAGGGCAGGTTGATGATGATTATTATTTCTTAGAAAAATAAAGCTGGTTTTATGTTTGCGTGTAAACATTATACCATTTTCTTTGCTAGACGAATACAGTAACAAATTACGTATTTCCAAGTCCATTGCATTTATTCCAAGTCTTCCAATTGTTTTATAATATTACAATATAATAAAGTAAATATACAAACTACAATTTCACGAATTTTACCTTATTTCTAGAAAAAATATAGGATTTTTTTTATATCATAAGGTGGCAAACGAGCGAGCGGGCTGAAATAGCGTAGTGACCGTTGCTCATAGACATACGCAATTGCATATGCGTTGCCTATATTTATTCGACGGAGGAGAGGGTGCATAGAAAACATTTCCATGCATCCTGTCTTCCGGAAAGTCCATTACCACTTCCCATACATTCCTTATAAGAAAGAGGGAAGGGAAAGAGGACTAAATTGGGCCTCCGGGACGCAAATTTTAAATTTTATTATATGATGAAGAAAACAGTCTGGAATGTTTTTTACGTTATGCATCGGTGCGTGAGTCTGGGCTTATTTTATGTCATATTTGAATCTAATTAAAATCTGTTATAGAGAAAAGTCAATTGTGATGAAAACTAGTTCAACGATGTTTTTATATAAACATTATGTATATTAAAAAAAAAGTTGATACATGGCTAATAATGTCATTTAACTTTTAACAAGTATAAACAACAAGGCTTATACATTCGAAGTCATGGGCAAATAACAAGTATTTCTATATACTTCTATTGTTCGTTACTTTTTTTGCGGATGGTTTCGAAGACCTTGAAACAATCGTTAATTCATGATGACAGGGAACTGACATAAGCAGGAAACGGAGATTGATGCGTTTCAGTCATAGTTGATGGCGCGACTAATTTAATCATTAAAAGAAATAATAAGTGGAAAAGTACGAATAATCATATGTTCGATACATCACGTTGGAGAAATGCAAGTCACAAAGAACACCCTCTGCAAAACCAATGCATCCTGTATATGGTACAATGAGTATCTTTGTTATATAAACTTTTGACAAATTTATCATCCTGTATCTATAAATTCATTCTTAAAAGTTTATTGACTATAATAACACGTTTAGTATTTCATCTTAAATATTCGATACAAATTCATACAAGCAAAGAATATTAGCATTTCATCCACAAAGAATTGACATTGTACCTTTTTAGACTCGACACATAAACGCCATGGTTTTATAAATGTTTTATTACAAATTATTTATTTATGAAGGAATACATTCAAAAAATCTGCATATAATTATCAATATTAACAATGTCGTGGGAATGAATACACAGATTAAAAATGCAAACTTCAGTTGAGGCTGTCATGAGTCATGCACTAAAAGTGCTTGTAACTGATTGAATAGAAAAAAATAATAAAAAAGTATCATTTGACAGCGACAAAAAAAACTGGTAAATAATATAACCTATGTTAGTCAATGATAATGTACCTTTTTAAAGGCAACTGCCCCGTAGTTTTTGAGTTTATTCTATACTAAAAATGTTTTCTTTAGATAAGATATTACTCAGAATTGCACCATACTATGCTATGATTTTACAAAACAAAAACAGTTGAATCAATTGAAATCTATAATATAAAAATTAATCGCAAAATGTGTTGGTAAGCGCATAACTCAACAACGCCTGAATCAATTTGGCCAATTCTTTTTTTTAAATTCGAATAATTGCCGGGAACTATTTGTATTTTTTTCATTTCACGCCGACGGAGACGTGAGCGACAGCTAGTTGTTAATAAAAACTTATATAGTATAATATGCAAACACAATGGGCTGAGTTTTAATTTTGGCAAGTACTTATACGGATCATGCTCGCAGTTGTTTCAATACGGTGTCACACGCTGAACGATTATCTCACAATCAAACTTTAATTGCATACTATCCTTTCTTGTCCATACAAATCGTATGAAGTCCATACGAACATCGATCACGTATCGCCTCGTTGAAAACTCATTTTTGTCACTATCGGAGGACGTTTGAGTTAATATTTAAAATATAATGATGTAAATTATTGCAAATTTAATACTCTCATAATTTTGATGAAAATATATCTTAGTAATATTATAAATGCGAATGTTTCGATTGATGGATGTTTGTTTGAAGGTATCTCCAGAACGGCTGCAGGGATCTCGATGTTATTTGGGATAGATATAGAATACAGTCTGGAAGAACTTATAAACATTTACAATTAGTATATAAATAGTTGGCAAAATAAAAATTGTCATCTTTAAAAACTGCTACCAAAATAAACGATTAATCATTAAAATGAAATGAAAGATAGTATTAAGGGGATTCCCAAAAAACACGAAATAAATTATTAGATATAATTTTATGCTCGGTTTTTGAAAGGTCAATTAATTTAATTTAATGATAAAACTCTTGAGAGATATTAATTCACATAATTTGGGTTGCTGGAACGTCTGTTTTTGTTAATATAATTTCGTACTAATTTGATATTACGATCAAATTGTGTTAATAGAATTTGGATAGGTAATTTAAAACAACTGCTTCTACACTAAAATAAGAGTTTAGTCAAAATATAACAGTACTAGCTGTCGCCCGCGAATCCGTCCGCACGGAATTAAAAAAAACATTATTAGTAGCCTATGTGTTCTTCCAGACTATGTTCTATGTACGCCAAAATTCATAGATATCCGTTCTGCCGTTTTGGAGATAACTTCAAAGATACATCCATCTTAACATTCACATTTATAATATTAGTATGATGTAGAATATTGTAAAAGAGAAGTAATCAAAGATCAAAATGTATGACCGCAGAAATGATCGATTTGCCCGCTGCCTAACTCCGAACATAGTTTTCACAGAGCGAGGCATTATATCATGACGAAACGGTTTGTGGAGCCGCGAATACAATGCCAATGTATGTACACAGCCGGTGTCGACCATTGTGACGTGCGATGCGAAACTAATGGAAATTGTTACAGACCTTCCTAAATGAACATCGCGACACAAACATGTGTTACTCTGGTGATAACAAAAGTCAACATTTGTTTACGATGGTTGCAGACTTTTCCGTTTCACAACTATAAACTACAAAACGCCAATTATTTCTCCCATTCAATTCTATAAATTCGATCAGCACCACTTTTTAATTATTTTTAGAAAACCGGACCATTTTTAATACGAATTTCTACTCATAAAGTACTATCTTGAACAATACGAATCCTTGATTTCCTTATGCGACATTATCATTTATTGTTTTGTGTTTGTTTCCACAGGACAAAAGGAGGTAACACGTAATGACTGCTACTCACGGAGGCGGCTGCGAGGACGCCCGCCCTGATAAGGATTACACCAACAAAACTGGATTCAAGAACGATGCATACCAACACGACAGAGACTCGAACGATGATATCGTCAAGCCACCACCGCTGCCAACTGAAGAAGATATGTACGCTTCTGGAAAGGTCAAGCTATCGAGAAACGAAAAATGGAGGATACTGAAGAACGTTGCAGCTGTAAGCGCTGCTTTCATGGTACAGTTCACAGCTTTCCAAGGAACTGCGAACCTACAATCATCTATCAACGCTGCTGACGGACTTGGAACAGTTTCACTGAGCTCAATCTACGCGGCGCTCGTCGTCTCCTGCATTTTCGTTCCCACATTTCTAATCAAAAGGCTCACGGTTAAATGGACACTATGTCTTTCCATGATGTGCTACGCGCCTTACATTGGTGCGCAATTCTATCCAGCATTCTACACTCTGGTACCTGCCGGGGTGGTGGTTGGCTTAGGAGCAGCTCCAATGTGGACATCCAAGGCCACCTATCTGACTCAAGCTGGTAGTGTCTACGCTAAATTAACCGATCAAGCAGTAGACGGTATAATTGTCCGATTCTTTGGCTTCTTCTTCCTGGCATGGCAAACTGCTGAACTGTGGGGCAACCTCATTTCCAGTTTGGGTAAGTTTTTTGGCTATTAAAAGCTTTATTTCAGATAATACAAAAAAATATGTTATTTGTTACAATTCTACAAGTACAATTTCTTGATTTCTAACTATAATAACACACTAGAAATATATTGATCGAGACTAATAGGTTCAATCTTTGCAATTAATTTATATACATTCTTGTTGCAGTTTTCTCATCTGGAGTACACAGCGGCAACAGTGAAAACACGTCTAACACGTTGCTGACGTGTGGCGCCAACTTCTGCATGATCGGCGGCGGTCACCATGACAACCGCAACTTACACCGGCCGCCAGACAGCGAGATATATGAGATCAGTGCCATATACCTCGCCTGCGTCGTCGTCGCCGTCATCATGGTTGCCGTCCTTGTCGATCCCTTGTCCAGGTATATTCTACACTAATATTATAGAGGAAAAAAAAATTATTAAAAAAAATGTATACGAAATATATATTCCAATTGCGATGGTGATACAACAACTTAATTTCGCGCGCTGTGGTTTCGTCAATTTTTTTGCACAGCGCCGTTCCTACGTTGATTGACATTGTATGGGCATAGAAACCAACTTTTTTTTAATATTGCGATTTGATAGCTCGAGTCTTCTAACTCGAGTCAATGGTCGACCTTAGGTTCATGAATTTGCGAAGAACGCTTTACTTTTATAATAGCTTTTAACGATTTTTATTTTAAAATATTGCTGCATCTTTTTCCTGTTTCTCAACATTATTGAATAACATATTCTAATGTACTAGTTCTAATTAATCTGGCTAAAACGTGATTCTATTTTGTATAGTAATACCATATTTATCTTTTCATATAAATTAATTCTTTGAAAATTTAGGTACGGTGAAAAACAGAGGAATTCGGATCCTTCCAGAGAACTGACAGGAATCCAATTGCTCTCGGCGACCGCTTACCAACTGAAGAAACCCAACCAACAATTGCTTATCCCTATTACACTATGGATTGGAATGGAACAGGCGTTTATTGGTGCTGATTACACTCAGGTAAACAATAACTAAAACATTTATCCTAAAGACAGTAAAACAAGTAGCCCAACATTAAAGCGTGCAAAGTTATGTCCATTTCTTAATATCAGGTGATTTTGGATTCTAAACGTTTGCTGTCTGCTCCAGCATGGATTAACCTTAACACTTTTGGTGAATTATTATAATATATTGGTATTTTGAAAATCGACATAAATTGTTTTTTCTCGTATATTAAAAAGCGCTAGCTATCTGGATATCACACATTTTAGAAACTATAAATAAAAACAATTCAAACATGTAGTTAAAATCTTAAAGAATATCCTGTCTTATACGACGCTGGTACAATAAAGTATCATGTAAATGGAATACCTCTATCTGGCTAATTATTTTACATCTGATATAAAATGTTATTTAATCTTGGTCCCGTCTGAAGCACGTGCATATTTTTTTGTAGTTCATTATACACGAAACATTTATCTTTGCCGTTAGTTTTTTTTTTCTCTTTCAACGAGAAACCTTTTTTATTTCTACTTTAGCTACGACCGTTAGAACAAATTGATTATTTCACTACAGAAATACAGATTGATAAAAATACATTTAAAGCATAAACATTCTACCAAAGAGACTGCATTTACTTGGCCTGAAAATATACTTGTTTTAACAGGATATTGTCGTGAAATCAATAGAGTTGTCTATACCATGACCTTTATGTTCAGATAATATCATTTTACTATCTTAATTATGTAATAAACACATGTTATATCTCCTTGCTTTTGGACTTAAAATTTCGAGACCGAAAATTCTAAATAATTCAAGGAACGAAAATTTTCTGGTACCTGCACGTATACACTGTCCTTTCCACTGAGACTTTCTTAATAACTGGTTGACTATATTTATTCTGTACCGGCTCTGTATTTATTCTACTCTTTGAGGGTCGGATGACTAGGTTTTTGTACTTCACGTCAATAAACTATTCGTTATTAAGATAACCAAGTTTAATCATGGTGCCTTTATTTAAACAATACTATTTTACAGGCCTACGTCTCGTGTGCTCTTGGAATCCGATCTATTGGATACGTGATGATCTGTTTCGGAGTTGTCAACGCGATCTGTTCTCTGCTCTTCGGATCAGCCATGAAGTTCATCGGACGATTCCCCATACTGTTCATGGGCGCAGCTCTTCACCTCGGATTGATCGTATGGCTTCTGATATGGAGACCTAATCCTGAATCACCCACTGTTTTCTTCGTCATATCCGGATTATGGGGAGTTGGTGATGCTGTTTGGCAGACACAAATCAATGGTAAGTTTGAACACGATTACTCTTCTTTTTATCAGGTAAAATGTTTTAGTGGTTGTTCCACCTTGGTGCTTGACCTACAGGAGACAGTTTTCATCACTTTTATGTTTCTTAATAAAAATTTAAATCTTCTGCAAACTTCTGGCAACATCCTCATCTCACTGAACTTTAAAACGTAGAATTATTTGCACGTGTGCATTGTATACATATATAATGTGTATGTATACTATTGAATGTACAGACAGCTACATAAATATGTATACATTTTCGAAACCTTAGAAACTTATATACACCTTCGGTTTCAAAATATATAATAAAGTGTGTTTTGTATATTTTCAATACATATTATTGACGGTGAAGTGCATACGTGTTTTCGAAACTGATGTCCTATATAACTTTCGAAAGTACTATAACTGTATCCATATTTATGCAGCTGACTGTACACTACCGGGCACCAATTTATTTAATCAGGTGTGAAAATCTATCCACTTTTATGAAAACAATTCAATTGTATCGTATTCACGTTGAAACAGTTCCAATTTATGTCAATGGCGAGTAGATTGAGGCACAGATTTTAATATCGAAAAGAAAATTTATTTTAATACAATCAAATCTTATTTTTTTTATTCCGCAAAGTTTAGATTTAAAGACATTCTGTTAATAAAGCAATATTAACACGTTGACTGCCTTCAACTCGTCCTACTAGATCAATGAAAAAACCATTAAACGTGTTAAATAATCGACCAGAATTATGTATATATTGAATGTAAAAGCAAAAAATAATCATAGATATGCCATGTCAATAATTCCTTAGTTTGATTTTTCTTTTTAGGGATCCGTACCTCGTAGGAAAAAAAACGGAACCCTTATAGGATCACTTTGTTGTCCGTCCGTCTGTCTGTCAAGATCCTTTTTCTCAAAAACGCGTGAATGTATCAAGCTGGAATTCATTCAGAACGCTCGGGGCGCGAGTCTGACTAACTGAATACTTATTTAGTTAAAATAGCTCTAACATCTTGCTTGGTCGTTACTATATTTTTTATCAATTAAAATGGATATCGATTTCTTTTATTTTAATTTAAATAGTATCAATAATGTTGTTAATTACTCAATTTTTTATTTATTTGTTTATTGCAATAGGTTTTAAAACAAAAAAAAAATCGGACAATCGTTTTATTGTTGACTTTGTAATGACCGAATTGTAGTAATTATGGGTGTATTATTGTGGATTATAAAGTATACAAAAATCCACTTAATGTATGCGTAAGCAATTACAGTATATGTATACGTGGGAACTTTTATCCGTTACACAACGTTAAACTCATTATTAAATAGCTTACATTGATTAAGGACGAAGTCCTCGGCGGTATTTCCAAACCGCTACGACTTAGGGTCATTCAAGAAGCGGGCAACGAATCTGCAGTTTCTCTGATATTGCCGATGTCCATGGGCGTCGTTGAACACCTCGGTGCTCCCGCTGCTCGTTTCCCCCCCCCCTTCTGTTATAAAAAAGGACGAAATAAAAATTAAACAATTTACCTTGGCTTTCTGATACTAAAATCTCTACGTAAAACATATCATCTCTGTCAATATCCTTGGTTAAACAGAGATAACAATGTTTTAAACTGATATTTTGGTTTCAGAAACACACGGTTAGTCTTTTTAGGTGTTCAAATTTATCATATTGACTACACTATGTTACATTGTAGTGCAGTTTTCAATAAAAGCTATGAGCTCTTTTAGAATATTCCTTACTTTGTTTATATTTTATTTCATCGTTTTATCCTCGCTTGTAACTTACGTACACAATGAATCATTTCTGATTGCCATCCAATACACTGGATTTTTATTTTTAACTCATAAAAAGCAAGACTTGGTTTATAAATAGAATTGCTCATCGCCTTTCCCTAACCAACCCAGCTAGTATCTTATCTAAGCCAGACGAAGTCGCGCCTCTGCCTTCCACCTGTAAAACAGGTTACAGCTATTAATTTCTGACTCAGACAAAACTAGTATCAACCCTGAACTCACATGTAATTAACTAAATATATAACAATATAATTTATCTGCAATTTTTAACTGTAATTTATTCATCGCCTGAAAGTTTAAATTTTCACAAATATCTGACGATTTTAGTACTTTTAATCCCATCATTGATCTATTATTTCCTATAACCATTTCAAGGACCATAAAGGCTTGTCTAAAGATCCTTACGAAAGTTAAACCAATAATCTTAAAAAACTTAATAAGTAGCCTTTGTGTTCTTCCAGGCTATGTTCTACATCTATGCCAAATTTCAGCGAAATCCATGCAATCGTTTTGGATGTACCTTGTAAAAACGATTTGTTCATCCATCCATCTAAATTGCATTTATAATATTAGTAAGAAGTAAAATAATTCAAGGTTTGAAATTGGATAAAGTGTTTTTTAAAGTTAATTTCTTTGTTTCGGACTATCTCATAAAGAATTATTATAGGTTTTACAATGTTATTAGAATCAGTAAACCTAATTATTAATATTTCCGGTCTGGTTACTGATCGACCTTTGGATGGTTCTCAACTTACGTGCGGTGCAAAAAGATTAATAACCATAACCAATTCAAAATACGTATAATAACTTCAAAAAATATTAAAAATATTATATTATATATACGTTTAAAAATTACACGCTCGATGCCAGGATTTACATATTGAATGGAAATTATACATCCTTTCGTAAAGATGACAAATAACTTTAGATTGGCAACAACCTCAAAACACTAAAATTAATTTAACCAATCGGATTCCTTACACATCTAACTCCATGTTTCATATTCGGAATTAATATGATTGAGATTTAAAGCAACCATACACGGACGACTTTAAGCAGACGGTACTGACTACAAGTAGCTTGTGTTAGATGTTGACTAGTTATTATCATTTTGTTTTTAATAATTTATATATACTAGCTGTCGCCCGCGACTCCGTCCGTACGGAATTAAATAAACCTATTGGTCGCAGCGTAATGTTATATAGCCTAAAGCCTTCCTCTATAAATGGACTATCCAACAAAAATAGAATTTTTCAAATTGGACTAGTAGTTCCTGAGATAAGCGCGTTTAGACAAACAAACAAACTTTACCGCTTTATAATATTATTATAGATATCATACTGAGATAATAATGTTGAATACATCTAAATAATGTGCTCATTTATTATATAGTCGCCACATTATATCATTGAATTTGTACTAGTTACTTGTATGTATATACAAAATATTTAAAATTACGTAATACTGTTTTTATCGTACAAAATTTCAATGACGCAATTTAAATTAAATCAAACTGAGGTTTCGTGTACAAAGACCAATCTTACTATTTCACTTCTTACTAATATTACAAATGCGACAGTTTAGATGGATGGATGGATTGATGTTTGAAGCCATCTCCAGAATGGCTACTTTCTAGTTGAAATTTGGAATAAATTTAGAACGTAGTCTGGAAGAACATATGGGCTATTAATTAAAGATTTTTAACTTACCGCGCACGGGCGACTGCTAGTTACCTACAAACTGCTTAATGACGCAATTTAAATCAAATTGAGTTTTCATATTTAAAGACCAAAAACAATATAATAAATTTTTTAAATTGGAATATCTGAGTATGTATCGCCGTTGAATAGGTATAATAAACTCAATATCACGATGAGTTACTTATCGGGGATATAAAACCTCCTTCTATATATAGATAAGCAATAAAAGTACTTCGCATGATAGCTCGCTCTATACTATTAATAGCAATCTCGAGCTTTGAAAGTTAACTTTAATGTGCTTAATTTATCATCCATTTACATAGATAAACTTCTAACTTAACTAGAATCTAGTTTTATCTAAATTGAAAATTAAAAAAAAGATTTTTTTACCTTTTATTTATTGCGAGTTTAGTTTCTATCTTATAAATTTGTCTGACTAATATTATAGTACCTAGAGATACTAGACCTAGAGAGAAATAGCACAGAAATTTGATTTATTATGCTAGCGAACACTAAAAATAGATTTTCTCTAAAATTCCCGTTTTTGAGAAGGAAAAGAGGATTTTGTCTAAAATCCCCTTTTTTGCAAATTGCTATCATCTATATTTGTTTCATCATCAGCTATACGTCCCCACTGAGGGGTTCTGAGCCTTCCCTAAGTTAGGGATGACTAGGTCAACCACACTGGCCCAATGCTGGTTGGTTGACTTCATACGTGTTTGATCTTCATTCTTTAGTATATCCAACATTCTTTATGTTTGTGTTTTAAAATTGCGTATTGTTTAAAATCCTTTTTAAAATGTCGTTATCTAATTGTTATGCCAACATCTTTATATTTAAATGTCTGCATATAAATATTTTTATAGCTTACTTAGTATTAGGATTTTCCCATAGCCTGCGACCGACTATTGTTTAGTCGAACCGATGTCGATGATTAAAAATATTTTTACAAACGGTATAAAATAATTGTAATATTACACAGATCGAAGCTCCTTAATCTTACTAATATTATAAATGCAAATCTTTGGATGGATGTATGTTTGTTAGAAGGTATCTCCACAACGCCTGTATTGATCTTGCCGAAATTTGGTAAAGTTATACAACATAGTCTGGAAGAACAAATAGGCTATTTTTTCTGACTTATTTTCATTTAAAATTGTGATATCAATGTTTTAAATGGTTGTCTGGGTGCTGCAAACACGGATAGATGGTATAACGAAACCAGTTTTTGTTATCAACTTAAGTTATTGACATCACAGTATACTCGATTGTTCGACATAGAAATCGACGTACATGATAAAACCCATAAGGTCGTTGACGTTACATCAAAGATATACATACGCAATCAAATATCCTATTAAGTCAATTTATCAATCAATATAATAAAATTGGAATGTATGTAAGAATAAAAAAAAAAAATCATACATAACCTTAAATTTGAGGTATACAAAGAAAATATATATTTTATACATTTGTCCATTTGTCTGCGCATCCGCGTTTTTCTGGATAACCTCAGAATTTGGAATTGCAACACATGCTAGGTTAGTATTTAATGGAGTAGATAAAACTTAAAATTGTTAAAGTTATATGCATATTTTTGTTCGACTGAAAGGAAGTTTTTTTGTAATGTCTGTTCCGTTGTGACGATTTGTGATAAAAACGATTAAGATTTTTCGATTCGTATTTTTTATTTATTCTCGAAGAGTCTTACGTATTCGTTAAAATTAGTGTTAGAATATTGGTTTGAAATTCGACCATAATTTTTTTTTCTTATTTAAATGTACTAAATTTCGCAATCAACTGTTCTCGCAATTTACTTAAAAAGGGGCATAAAGTTTTCGTTTCTAGTTTTGAAATATGTATTCTTGTATTACAGGCTTGTACGGAGTACTGTTTAGACGAAACAAGGAAGCGGCGTTCTCTAACTACAGGCTATGGGAGAGTGCTGGCTTCGTTGTCGCCTATGCATACTCCACTCACTTATGTGCCAGGATGAAGCTATATGTCATGATGGTCGTCTTGCTCATTGGATTCCTTGGATACATGGTTGTTGAAATACTGCACAAGAGAAAGGTAAGCTTGTATATCTTTCAAACATAAAATGCAGTTTAAAATTTAAAAAATTGTCTTTATGCAATGCATATCTGCTAAGGTAAATCTGTATATTGTTAGGAAGATAATCCGACACTGTGCCGGTGTACCGGCGCAACACTAGCCTTATTAAAATAGCAACGTTTAGTTCCCCCCACTAATCAATCTGACACTTGAGTTCGAGTTAAGTAAAGAAAACGCGCCATTCGCGCAAAAGGTTTCTAACTAATAATGTCTAAAAATATTGATGTATAATATTAATTATTTCAGGCTCTTCGTCTCAAGGCGATTGCAGAGAACCCAGCAGCCGCCGCAGATGCCGCGATGCAGCCACCAGAAGAAGATGACGAGAAGGATGAGATTGACGACGAAATCATCATCACACATCTCTAGATCATCTTAATCAAATCGTTTACGGTTACAAGAATGATCTCCGTCAATGATGGTTTGCGTATTGAAGCGCAAAATACAAAATTGCCATACATCAATTTCGTTAGGTACAAAATGAACAGAAAAAAATATTTTATAATCTCAATTAATTAATAATATTTATATATGTATCCGATAGTTTAGTATTTGGCCGAATTAAGTGAGTAAAATAAAGACTTGACAAGTACAAACGCTCCCTTATCATGATAAAGTTCATTCCAGTTTTTTAACGTATTAACATTTAAAAAAAAATCTTCGGGTCCAAATCATTAACACTAAGGTAAATTATTATATTTTTCTTAAATCATCGTAGACGTTAAGGAAAAAACTAAGAGACCAATGTTTGTATTGTCTGAGCATTACCAGACTTTTATAATATTATAAAAGTAGCTCTTATTTTAGATCTGAATAAAAGAAACAAGTTCTAAACTATAAGGTCTTCATAGTACTCACGGTACGAAACGTATTTACTTTGAGGAACTGATAGTAACTGACGTGATCAATATGAATATTGATTTACTGAACATCTGTATTTATTATTATTTCAATAGTAATTATTCGCTTTGTCTTTTATTTGGCTCAATGGCCTCTTCAATATTTGTGTCTACTTATTGTTTTTTTCTGTGGAGAAATTTAATTATTTCCTTGAAATGTAACGCAATTTTTCGTACGTACGTTGGCCCTCTTATTAACGAACAAGGATAACAACACAAGTGTTTCGGCAAACTTATGGTCAAAACATCATTGGTTGCGTGCAGTCATTTAGATATAGACGGACAAATAGATCCTGTGATGATATTGAAACTAAATCAACCGCAGTAGCGCCGACAATGTCAAAAAAGTGGCACAAGATTCATGTCGTACTTTATAGACCGACAAGGCTGTCTTAACTGGTGGGCATAAATCAAAAAAATTATGACAGCTCACTAGCGCCCCTTATCAACGTCAAAAAATATAAAATCCCCCTGTACTGTAGCTGTCAATTTTTTTTTTGTTTTATGTCATTTTCTATGTCTAGGTAGGTTTAATATATATTCAACAAGTGACAAGCAACTATGATAGCCTCTCATCGGTTCATATATCGTTGACTATATCTCATTTTACTTTGACCAACAAGGATGTGATAGCACTGCCCCTTGTCAACATCAAAAAAAAAATTACAAGATCCGTTTCGTACTGTAGCTGTCACGTCATATTTCTTTTGCTGCCATTTCCCATGTAAATTCTACATATTTTCTTACAGAATTTAACGGGACAGATATCCTTGTCGGTCTATCTTGTCATGTCTTATCTTATGTGTCATTTTCTAGTTACTTCTGCGTATAATTTGACAGAACTTACTGCTTTAATAGCGCCGTTTCTTACCAGACCTAATGAGTTTGTCAAATACGTCCTTACGTGTCCTTGATTGTTTCCTTCTCTGTGGATCTATCATGAATATTTGCGAGAAACGCCTTGGTATCGTCATCATCAATTGTGTCAAAATTAGTATGAGATTTTTGGTGTACTTTACGCCCGATAGGGGCGCTGCACAAACTTTAATACTTTTTTCGATGACGATACGATGGGTCTTTTCGCACTAATGTTATTGTCATTATTATTCGATTATTACGAGGGATATTTTTATTATTCTAAAATTTTTGAGCAATGTAAAGTTAGATTGGCATGACTATATGTTATTTTAAATGTGATATCTAACGAATAGTAGATTATAAATCAATACTATAGTGTTAGTTGTAACATTTTTTTTATTATAATCAATTTAATTATAAAGAATATATTGTTGCAGCTATTTTCTTGTTACTTTTCTGTTCTATTTATTTAACTATCGAAACTTTGTAAAAAAAAAAGGTATATACAGTTATTATATACTTTACTCTTTTATTAATCACTGTTAATTATATTTGAATAAAGTGCAACTATTTTACAACAGATGTCACTAGGATACAATTAAGATAAAAGTTGTTTTAAATGTTCAATAAAATTAACATGATCGTGGTTATTTTTGGTACAAACAGTATTCTGAAGACAGTTTATTTTCTATTTTGTTTTGAATTTGTTATTTTTTTAGTATCATTTATAGTAGAAAATTCATTCATAATTTATGAATTTTAGATCAAATGAAAAAAATATAATTTTAGGTATTTTACCTTTTATATATGTGTATAATACATATTTATTTTTAAGTACATATATAAATTTTAATTGTGTAATTACCCATTGCTATGTTTCCACATAGTAATGATGTAGAGATAATAATTATATTAAAATAAATTATACATTTGACTCATGACCTTTGTTATTTTGAAGATATTTCTTTATTTTATCAAATATATGTTTATTAAATTTCGATATATCTTAAACCAGCGTGCTCACAGCCGTACAATGACAATTGTAAACATATCAAATTCAAAAAAAAACTATTAAATAGTAAATAACAAATTTGTAGTTTATTTTTATTATAATTTAAAAAAAAATCCGCGATTTTCTGATTTTATTTCTTTTATAATTTGATTTTTCTGAATCTGTTCCTTTTATTTATTTAATGCCAATATGAAAAAAAAAATGTAAAATATTATCTTATAGTGTACTTTTTAGATTTAAAAAATATATAATTACCGGCACATATACCATGATTATAGTTTTTAATTTTAATTAAAGCATATTATATTGCTCGTTTAGCGTGATTATTACATTCGGCTCACATTGTATTAAATAGAAAAAAAATAACGTTAAATATGGAGTCTGCTTTACAAACGTAACAATTTAATGTTAATGATCCATATAAAACATTCAATCTCTATGGCGGCTTGCAAACTGTAAGTGGAGATAAACGTGTGCATGGGTGTCAATTACTTAAAGACCTGCATTCATAAAATTGTATCGCACAAAACTGGGAGCCACCATAAAGTTTGAATAGCATTATACCTTAAACCACCACCAGATTAATTCCATTAATGTTTTAAAGATGTGAGCGTTATGTTAAACTTTAATTAGAGGTTAATTATAAATACATAAGGCTACTATATTGAATTTAGTTTATTATCATTTTAATTAATAATTTTACTAGTAGCTAGTAATCTTAGTAGTTGAAAAAGGAGGTGTGCTACTAAAATGTTACTTTCATATGATATTGTAAGACCTTGTGATAAAAATTAAAAATTGTTTTGATCAATGTTTGGATTTTTAATATTGGAATATCCCTTACAATTATACGAAATCTACTCTTCGGATCTTGTAGTCCATCATTAAAAATAAACTGATTTACCAAGGACCAGATAATGTATTCTGGACTAGATATCCAAGCCTATAGCATGTAAATACTCCTAGACACAAAATACATTCTTATAATAGAAAAACAAAAGAAACTGATCAGGTTCGATCATCGAAAAGTCATCGACGAGATCGTAGGACTTGTAAATTCAATAAAAATGCTTAACTTATTAACCTATCTTTAAGATAAATACAATTCCACCGTGGGTTTCTGAAACCGAAATCGGTCTTTAAAACATATTGTTATCACTATATTGTCAGACAAGAATGACGTTATGTTTTGTACAGAGGTTTTGCTCACGGCAACTCACGACAGTCGCAAAATCTCTAGTTACAGAGCTTACGTTATTACTAAGTTAATGTTATATCGACGCATGCACATCGCAAATGAGTGCGAAAGAGATACGACATTAACGAATCGACGTTATCATCCAACTCTCATGCACACAGATGAAAGACGTTTCGCGATGTGTGAGTCAGTAGTTTACGTTTTATCATTACACATTGTGTCCGTGAAGCAAGTCAGTCGCGTTAGGGTAACGGCAAGAAAACGTTGTACAAAGGGTTTAGCCACAACTGCACGGACTTTTGTGTTTGTTGGTGGAAGTGATGTGGACAGCCAAGGATGATCAGCCGAGCGATGCACTCGGGCGCACGAGCACCAACTCTGAAGTGGTGCTGGTGGACGGCCAAGGATTGGCCCCTGCCTCCACGCCCCCGACTATAGCTAATCTAAATGTTACAAAATCATCCCGAGTCCACATCGGTCCCAAGTTTGTTTCCGTGACACAGAATCTACAAAACACTGAGGTGGTTAAAGGTAAGACTATCCTGGCAATATTAATTTTTGCACATATTTTCCTGTTGCGCGAAACGAGACTCGACGAGCTTTGTCTCGTTTTGTGGCTATGTATACTATATGTGTTGTATTTATCGATACTGTAATGTAACAACGAGTTAATTGGGTTCACAAACCTAATCTTTATGTTCCTACTTAATCTACAGTCTCGATCTAAATATATTTCTAGTTTGCTGGCGTTATTTTTTTTAATTTGCTTGCGTTAAAAATTTTATATTATTTTTAATAAGTATTTATATTAAATATTCCTCACATTAAATATAACTTTAGTATTAGACATTTTCCTTATACACGTTTACAATTTGTTTTCCGTGAAAAAACGCTGCTGCGCAAATCATAAAGCGAAGTCATTATAGAACAACAAAAACCTCAACAGGATCTATGTTCAATAAAAGTTTTTTTTAACATATTTTTTCATTTCGAATTTCAAAAAATCACATGAACTTTATAATGAATAATTTTAACTACCTACAATTACTATTTATGTCTATAAGGACAAAACAATATAACACACACGTTAAAAACACAATACGAAATTCCAAGATATTTTGTTCAATTCTTTTGTGCATAGCTAACGTTATCTACTATTTCGAAACACTTTAATACCTCTGGTGTCCGATTAACATCGATAACGAATATAAATTAACAATTCCTTTATGTAGACCCACACCTACAGCTTTTCTTATCACTGTAATAAATATTTAATCTTATTTGTGTCATTATACTCTGAAACAATAATGTAATTTTTGCTTGATTTATAGAAATAGAAATGTGAAACAGAACAAATGGTTTCTAATACCAAATTCTCTGTATAAAATATATTATCATCCCTGTCTTTCATGTTTGACAAAACAGAGATAGCAAGAAACGGGGATATTAATCTCAGAAACCCACGCTTAAACTATTGTTAAGTATAAAGAAACCTATCTTGAAGTACGCCAAACAAATAAGGGGAAGTGTCAACTCTGACGCAATGATGTTTTTTTTTTATATCATAACGTGGCAAACGAGCGAGCGGCCACCTGAAATCGCTGTAATTGCGAAGTGACCGTTGCCCATAGACATACGCAATTGCATGTCCGTTGCCTACCTTTTATCGACGGAGGAGAGGATGCACAGAAAGAAAATATTTTCCCTTTCCATGCATCCTTTCATCCGGAAAGTCCACTTCCACTTCCACTCCTTTCCTTATAAGAAAAAGGGTGGGAAGGGAAAGAGGATTAAATTAGGCCTTCGGGACGCACACTCATCAGATGAAACGCGGAATTGCTTCCACTTGACGCCTGTCTTCTGTGTAGTCGTGGTATTTCACCGGGCGAGCCGGGCCAATTCGTGCGATGTTAAAGCGAGCTCTACCACTGTTAACAAAGTTTCATAGAATGCAAATCATGAATATTTTGAATAAAAAATAAATAAATAAATAAATATACGTACAATGTACAATTGTTTTGCAATTATGTGGTTATTTAATAACCCGTATATAATGTATATGATGATGTTTTATTTTTGTTGACGTAAATACCAAAGGTTATAAAAATAGCATAACTCGAACAATACGAACACATATATCTATAGGTTTTGACAGTTGGAATACTTGTCCCTTTTAAACTCCTTGATAAAACAAAGACAACTATATGTCCAAATGTTTTGGTTAGATTTGTTCAAATCGAGCTATTTCATGACCAATTTTTTTTATTGAACTTATGAGGTTTAAATCAAGCTAATCCACTTAAGATAAGTTTTTAATCATAAGAACAATTACAACAACGTTATGCGAATATTGTATCGAATAATCAAGATAATTAATTTTGTTTTCAATAACAAATGTACAGAATAGGATACTGTTCGATGCGCATTTAGTTAACGCGAAAGTTAATTAGTGAAGAGTGTTGATAAAATTATATTAGACGTACACAAAGCTTAGATATAAAACTTATTTCTTTAAGATTTCTAAAAAAAAACAACGAAGTATTATCCATTCTATCATGTATTTACAATGAAAAAAATGATTGTTATTTGTTTAGAATTGCTATTTATGTGTGTTTTCAATAGATTTAATATACCTATTGGGTTTCCAGACAAAGTCACAAGCTACGTAAATAATTGATATTAAAGTTATATTATCTTTTTGAAACTTCATATGAGTTCATGTAGGTCGATTCCATTTATTCCTTTGTAGCCTCAATGGCTCTGTTGATTGTTACTTTTGCGGTGTCATTATGTTTTTTATTCTTCCTCAGAATCGTATATATTGAGGTTTATGGTTTTGTAGATTAACAATATCTTGTTCGCTATATTAGCGTAGACGTTTTAATGTTTCAGGCCGCTTACTGGGCCTAGAGTTGGTGTCACCTAAGGGCTCCCGCCGTCTACGCTGTAGCGTGGCCGTCTTCGTGTGTTGGGCCTTTCTTGTCGCCTCTGGCCTCGTCATCTACCTCGTCGCGGTCGCCCTGCCAAGGCCACAGGGTCGTCTAGACATAGGTAATTTATAATTTTTCCCTTTGGACTTCTAGACGTTTCTGTTTCACCATTCACACCACTAAAATTGTTTCTTCTGGATCTATTTATCATAAAGCCACATAATTCTGGCGAGTTAGTTTGACGCTTTGGTCTTGAATAATAAATTAATCTACTATTTGCTTGCTTTACTATTTTTTAATTATTTCGGTTTCCTTCTTTGTTTCCTTTATCAATTGCATATATCATCTTTTTTGTATCTTCTGTTTTGTTTTTTTTCGCTGTAATTTGACAGTTTTATAAATAGAACCAGTTTCATGAATAGAACAGCTTAACAGCTAAAATGTCATATGCCTCATGATTATACAGTAGATTGTACTTATTGTTTTGCTGTGTTGGTACTCATATAATTTTGTTTTGGCTAGGTTTGAAGGTGCCGTGGTACCTGCGCCGCGGGGACTGGCAAGCAATGCCGCCTTACTCAATAGATTTCCTAGATTTGCCTCTATCGTATGTTATCGTCGGCCACTCTGCTGCCAATTTCTGCGAACAAATGTATGAATGTATAGAGCAGATGCTCGTCATACAACAGGATCATTTACGCAGAGGATTGAACGATATCGGCCCTAATTTTCTTGTAGGCGGCAAGGGTTTTGTATTCGAAGGCAGAGGTGCTAATGTTTTTGGTGCAATGGTTACTTCTTGGAACGTGAAAAGCATCACAATAATGTTCATGGGCAACTACGTAAATGAATTTCCCAATCAGGAACAATTTAATCATTTAAATATACTGTTAGATGTACTCGTGAAAGAACATGTTCTTGTACCAGATTACACGTTATATGCGCAATGTCAGGTACAGCCCGACACCGTCTCTCCCGGGCGTCACGTGCTTGCTCATATGGATTACTTCGAAAATTGGAACTCTTATAATAGAAGTGGCTGTCTTAACAGATGATAAGGATATATTCATCACAAAAAGTATATTTTGAATAGATATATGTATCAAAATAGGGCAAAATAGAATCAGCTTTGATTATATTATAAAGCTATTAATGCCGCCTTTTTAAACCAAGTGACATTGTCGGAGTGCCCGAAGAATCCAGAATGGGGATAAGGTATGCAGAAATGATAACCTCTTGAGATATAAACCTTCAGAATTATTTACAGCTATAAAAGAAATGAACTTATGGCCGTGAAGAGTGACTCGATTGAGTGCTAAAGGCAATTAAAAGTAAAAACAATTCTTATGAACATAATAAATACGGACTATTAAAATGTTAATAATAATATACAGTTTTAATTATTCAAAAATAAAGGCAAATAATTAAGAAATGCGTTATTTCCATGTATTGCGTTGTTGTAATTGTTTTTGTGAAAATATATCTATTGATTACGTCAAAGTGAAAAAATAAGTGTCTTTTATTTTGTTATGGAGTATTTTTATTAGCTAATTCGTGCTCTTTTTAAATCAAGTATTTTGGAAATATTCAAATTCACTCAAATTAATGCAATAGTTCATTTTTTTCCAATTTTAAAATTTAATAAAACAGTTTGTGATATGATACTTTGTCAAACGTAAAAAAAACCATTGAAATACATTTGGATAACCTAATATATAATAATTAATAAATAATTCCTCGTATTTTAAATTTGGTCAATTTTTTTTTCAAACTTTTATTAGTTTCTATTTTTAACCAATTTCACAAAGGAGGTTATCAATTCGCCTGTATTCTTTTTGTTAAACAAATTGTTTAGAAAATGCGCATGAATTGTATATTATAGAAACATAAGTATTTGATAGAAATTAATATGTAATGTGATATTAGAAAGTGACATCTGTGTTATAAAAATAAAAAAAATGTACAGTACTTCTTTTTTTATTCATATAACACTTATCTATAGTTAAAAATACATAAGTCTACTGTTTGACGTAGATAAAAATAAATCTCACTTAATTGATTAATTACATTTCAACTTAGTTTTGTTAAAGGGACAAGAAGCCTACCCACTAAACCCCCTCTGGTTCCCTCGACTCACTGTTTACCGGGATGTGGGCACATGTGAATACTCTTCGCACAGAATGGTCTACTTACCCCTAACTTAGGGTAGGCTCGGAGCCCCTCAGTGGGGAAGTATAGAGAGCTGATGATGATAAAGTGGCCTATATGTTTTTCCAGACTATGTGGATATATGTTCTACATCCATGCAAAATTTCATGGGGAACCTTTAAGCCGTTCTGGAGATACCTTCAAACAAACATCCATCCATCCACCTAAATATTCACATTTATTATATTAGTAAGAAGTAAGATATCATGTTTGTAAGTCGCTTAAAATGACAATATAATGTTTCTGCGTGTATTTAGCATCGGGGTTTTTAGTCAGTAAGGTATTTTATATTTAAAATAAGTAGTTTTATGAAATCCGTAATCTGCCTTGGTTTAAAATTAGCAGACGTAATTTAATTAGTTTCACTGTGAATAATTCAGTACAAAACTGTGCTATCTATAGATAACGTCGGCTTCGTTGACATATTGTTTATCGTACTGTATTAAATAACATAGATAATAGAAATTTATTTTGGTATACCAAAGTATTTTAATCATTAAATGTCCAATTTCAATAAACAATTACTGTCACTTTTATGCCAGTTATGTTTTTAACTTATTCATTTCTATAAGAAACATTCAAAGCAAATATAAACACCACTTAAGTACGACTGTATGATCAATATCCTGATTAACCGACTTCCAAAAGGATGTGGTTCTCAATTTGCCTGTATTTTTTTGTCGTCGATAACTGCCGCTTATTGACCGATTTTCGTAATTCTTTTTTTATTATAAAGATTATCGTGTCATTTGTTCCCATATTACAAAGAATTTGTAACATTATTAATTATCCAGTACTAATTAAGTCATAATTAAATTATAAAATTATTAAAACTTCCATGTTGTAATGACAGCAAATTATATGCGTCGGATCGACAGACACACTATACATTTATCCATACCTACATATAGTAAATATAGCACTGAACTTAGATAAAACTGTGCAAACAGCGTAGCAAACATACAAAATATTATTACATTTAATTCTAGTTTTCGCCCACGACTCTGTTTGCGCGCAATTAAAAACAAAACATAATAAGTTGCCTATGTACGAGTATTCTCACAGACTATGTTGTACATCTCTGTCAAATTAAAGATCCGTTAAGCCGTTACGGAGATACCTTCAAACAAATATTCATCCATCGATCAATCTAAAGTTTGGCATTTATAATATTAGTTAGTATTAACATAATTCAATCAACCGTTTCGATGTTGTAAAGCTAAAAACAAATAATATTCTCCACTAAATAAATCTCAAGTAACCTAACCAACTGATAACCTCGAAGGTTAACACGTACGACATAATTTATAATAAATATACATAATTTCTTGCAAATAACTCGTCATTGTTTGGTCGCTGCAATCTGTAACCAAGGAACTAGGAGTTTACCCAACTTAGAATGACTAGGTCATAGTCGACCACTCTAACCCAGTGCGGGTTGGTTGACTTCACACATCTTTAAATTTCTACGACAATATCTGCAGGTTGCATGACAATGCTTTCTTTCTACATAAGAGCATCGGATAAATGTACATATGAAAATCGAAAAACACATTGGTACATGGCAAGGATCGGATTGATTCAGTCTAGTCAAGCGTTTAACCATTGTATCGACGCTCTCTGATCCTCGAGTCCTTCCCTGTTTATATAATGAAAAGATATTTTGTGATTACATCACTCTCTTTGTTTTTTTTTTAAAAAAAGATATAAACATTCTTTCATACAAATGTTTCGGCAGTTTTCGACAGCAATTTTACAGATATAACTCGTTTATTCATTTCAACGTGCGCAATGATGACGTAATAACGACTAGTGACTAACTGATTGGGTTTTCCTGATTTAACTTCCCGTTGAACGTTTTTTTTTATTCTCAAGACACTTATCATGCTATGTTTCAATAAGATAAAATTTAATGTCATCACAAACTAATTGGTAAGTAATAAAAAATCGTATTATCCAAAATTACGTTAAGGTACACCACTTAACAACTTTAAATACGTTAAACAGTTCGTCTCAAATAAAAATTTACATGCTATGTTGTGAGGTCATAACTCTCAAATCGAAAAAAATAGGATAAAACTGATGTATTGATGATAACAGACATAATTTTTTTTTATATCATTAGCTGGCAAACGAGCGGGCGGCCATCTGAAATCGCCGCAATAGCGAAGCGACCGTTTCCCATAGACATCCGCAATTGCCAATGTGCTGCCTACCTCCAACCGACGGAGGAGAGGATGCACAGAAAGAAAATATTTTTCCCTTCCATGCATCCTCTCATCCGGAAAGTCCACCTCCACTTCCCATCCCTTCCTTACGAGAAAAGGGTGGGAAGGGAAAGAGGACTAAATTAGGCTCCCGGGACGCACACTCATCAGACGAAACGCGGAATAGCTTCCACTTGACGCCTGCCTTTTGTGTGATGTGATATTTCACCGGGTGAGCCGGACCAATTCGTGCGAAGAAGTTAAAGCGGGCTCTACCACTGTTAAAAAAAATAAAAATATTGTTATAGTAGTTTTGATTATCTTTCTGAGAGTGCGTTAAGTCTACATTACTCTTGAGATTATCTCTATTTCAATTCTACGTATTGTAAAGCGGTCAATTGATATCTTTAATAAGAATTCGTATTGCCATCAGGTAAATATTGACTTACGATAACATTCGCAGAAAGCGCACAGCAAATAAATACAAAAACTTGCTATACAATATTTTTATAAAGTAGCAAATAGACGACATCTTTAGAACACAATTAGACGTAGTTAGTAGCTAAGTATTTGTACGTGGTAACCTTTTGGTGAAAATTCCAAGGTATGTGTTAGAAATTTTCAGACTGTCTATGTAATATGGAATACTGCTGACCCCATTATTGGCCCATAAGATTCCTTACTTTAAATGATATGTGTGGAAGGCATATAAATGTAAATCTCTGTAAATAGTAGATCTGTTTTTTTTTATATATTTATATAAAGATTTTTATGTCAATTAACTAAACGAATCTTATCTTAAATACTTTAAAACAAGTATGAAATATTGGTAATTTGGTCTTTAAGATATGCATATAAATTGACATTATGTATTGTTGACCTAAAGTCAATTTATTTTAACTGTAATAAATTTTAATCACATATAACGAGTGCATCTTGTTTTTGTTTATGTACATTACAGTAAGTTTTATTTAAAATTAAAAAAAAATTATCTCATCTATGTAGCTCTTAAGAATATTTATCTAGTTTTATTTCACGGAATATTTTATTAATGTTACAGACATGCCCTTTCCTGTTTACGTGTGGCACATCATCAAGAACAGTTCCCGTGCGGAGAGGCTGTCGTGTGTCGCTGCTCTCCTAGCCCTGCTTGTGTGCGTCGGTTTAATTGTTTACTTCACAGTACTTGCCAAAAACACCACGGACGATATAACTGACGTTGGTATGTTTGCATTTAATTTCTTATTTTAGACATTATTAGTTAGAATCCTATGGCGCGAATAGCTCACTTTCGTTACAGTGTCAAGTGTCAGAATGATTAGTGAGGGGACGTTAACTTTGACATTTTAGTAAGGCTAGTGTTGCGCCAGTACACCGGTATTAGATTTTCTTCCTAACACTTACTAGCTGTGGCCCGCAACGCCGTATAAGAGGAATAAAAAAAAACTTAATTAGTAAGTTATGTGTTCTTCCAGACTATGTTCTAAATCAGTGACAAATATAATCTTGATCCGTTTAGCCGTTCCGGAAGTACCTTCTAATAAACATCCATCCATCTAAATTTTCGCGTTTATAATATTAGTAAGATGAATTTCTTTTATCTATATGCGAGTTGCCAGTGTCCCGAGAGATGGTACGATACCAATAGCAACATAACTTTTTGGTTATTCATCAATAAATTAATAAAAAAAATACCCTAAAATATCGAAGTTGGGTACATATACTAGTATATACTAAATTTATTATATGGAAAATGCATATTTATCAGCAAGCAACCTAATCGAACAAAATGTACTAATTTCTTAAGATAAAGAAAAAACAAATACTTAATCATAGGACTTAGCAGATTTACTAGTCTAGATAGATTTGTTAAATCATTACAAGTCAGCAAATCCATTACAGATAACAGCCCTATTTGTAATTGACAGTATTATATAGATTCATATACATATTTATTGTATACTAGCTGTCGCCGCGACTACGTCCGCGCGGTAATAAAAATAGATATTGGCCGATTCTCAGACCTACTCAATATGCTCACAAAATTTCATGAGAATCGGTCAAGCCGTTTCGTAGGAGTATGGGAACGAAAATTGTGACACGAGAATTTTATATATAAGATTAAGTACTTAAAAACTTGTTCCATTCGGTATAAGAAAAACACATTAATAAAGGACTATAGAGAAATTTGCCTATAAATAAGATAGCAGTTCTAAAAACATTAGGCAAGATTACATGACAATTTCAAAGATGCTGGTATATATTAGAAAGTCGTGTTAGTTACATTATTTATAACTCAAGAACTTTACCGATATGGCTGAAAATTGGTGAGGAGGTAGCTTAGAGCCAGGAGACGGACATAGGATTATTTTATTCATTTTTTTTTCAAATTTATGCCTTGAAGAGCTGCTTTTTATTTAACTTACTAATATTATAAACGCGAATGTTTAGATGGACGTGATGTGGATGGATGGATGGGTGTTTAAAGATATCTCTAGAACGGCTGAACGGATCTCGATTTAATTTGGCATATGTATAGAACATAGTCTGAAAGAACACAAAGGCTACACTAATTAAGTTTTTTTATATATCCACGCGGACGGAGTCGCGGGCGACAGCTAGTTATGTTATAAAAACGAAACTTAACAATATTTTTTTTATCAATAACGTTTGAAAAAAATAGATAGGTAATAATTTAATTTGATTCTGATAATCATCAATTGATATAATTAACGTAGAGTATTTGTTCCATTTTAATAATATCTTGGCTTACCAACAGATAACCTATAATTAGTATATATGTCTAGTAACGGTTACAATTCATCATCACCATCAGCTCACTATACGTCCGCACCGAGGGGCTCGGAGCCTACCCTAAGTTAAGGGTGATTAGGCCATAGTTAACTACGCTGGCCAAGTGCGGGTTGGTTGACTTCACAAATATCTTTGAATTTCTTCTCAGATATGTGCAGGTTACATTACGACCTTTTCCTTCACCGTAAGAACGTCGGATAAATGTACATATGTAAATCGGAAATCGAAAAACACATTGGTACATGGCGAGATTCGAACCCAGGACAAATCTATCGTTACAATTGCAACGAGTAAAATAGCCGTAGACCTTAAAATCATATTTTTTGGTTATTTACGACACGTTTATTTGTGAGAGTGTTTAGTTTGGAGCGTCCCTAGAGTACCCTTAGATTAGAAATGCATTGAGCTGAACCCTGCAACACCAAAGTTGAAATAACTTCAATAATCTATATTTCTAGATAATATCAAAGCTGTGCGTGCGACACGCTTCCTTATCTCCCCCCCACCCTGACGACGCCCATTATTATCTTTATGTCATTTCAAGGTCAAATATTTGCCGACAATTGCGCGTTGAATTTTAACTAGCAAAGGGGAAATTACCTAAATTTAGGAAAACGCATCATCTCCTAGTTATCTGTAAACATAAACTAAAAATTGCAAAAATAAATGCTATCAAATTAATGCATTAGTGATAACAGATAAGATAACATTTCGTAGACAAAACGTTACGATAAGACTTATTTGTGAAAATAAAATTATCACATACCAGCAACCTGCCCCCGCTTCGCTCGGGTAACACCTAGACTGTAATTGAATTGTAGCGCCGATAGCTTAATATTTAAAGATATAGACATTCGATCACGTGGTCGAGAGTTCGAACTCCGTCATTCGGTTATTGTCGTGGAACATAACCGATTGGAACTAACATAATAAATTTATGATGATATTTTACAAAAAAGTTAAACAGTTATTGTAATTTCAGCGCCACACGAATGGAACATTTCTCGAGAAATGTGGTTGGCACGGCCGTTTGACAACAACGGAACAACGAAACTCTTCGATCCACTGAAACTGGTCGTTATTCAACATACAGTCAGTCCAATGTGCGAGAGATTCATTCTCTGTGCAGCCGAGCTTCGCAATATGCAGTCTTGGTTTATCGCACAAAGTCACTACGACATACCGTAAGATGAAGTTGATATTGCTTCAATAATTTATTAGAAAAGTATTCAATATTCGTTTAAGAATAATCATTGTTCAAAATTATAATTCACATCGCATTTGACACTTGTCTAGAACTGATCATCTTGCCCGCCAAAAGTAAAATAGGTCTTATGGTTTTTCAGTTACAATTTTATCATCGGCAACGATGGACGTGTGTACGAAGGCCGAGGCTGGGGTATTGAAGGTGCTCATACTTTCGGCTACAATCGCTGTTCTGTGGGCCTCGGTTTTATTGGTAACGTATTTATGTTAAACACATTCTATATTAACAAGCAATAAATAATCTATTGACGAGTAGTTGCCATGATTCTCAAACGGTAAACTTCAAGGGAACTTCAAGGGAATAGTGAATAATTTCGATCAGATGTCTATTGTTAAAAAAACAATACTGGTCTACGTAATAAACTAGAGTTATTGGTCAGCCCAAGTGAATAATTCTAGTAAATAATAAAATGATTGGATTTAACAGTTTTGTGTAATGTATGAATACTTTAGTACTAAGATGTTTATTTAATAAATTTTGTCTCTTGCAGGTGACTACAGAGAAGAATTGCCAGTGCATGCTCGAGTCACCGATCTTCAAATTAAAAGGGCTAAGATGATTCTAGAAGAGGGCGTCAAACTTGGTTACCTGGCCACTGATTACGTAGTTCTCGGAGCTAAGGATCTACATTTAACTGCTAGTCCGGGATCAAACCTTTACAACGCTATTAGAAAATGGGACCATTACGGTCACGTAAATCTGTGGCGTAACTCTACATGTGAAGAAATGCACGGATTACCACCACGGCAATAATTTGGATAAAAAAAGTAATTAATACTTTTATTTATCAAGGATTAAGGACTTTATTATTACGATATTCGATAGCCATTTAGTTTAGTTTATGTGTATTATCCGTAGTTACTAAAATAATTATTAGTACATGAAATTAATACAAGAAAACCAAGAAAGTGTAACCGAGTATTGTTGGAATAATGCTGTCGAAAAATTTTATAATTTTCATTTAAAAAAAAGTTACGATTATGAATAAGAACTATGTAATCATTCTAAAATCTAATTTTGTCCACTTCATCGAATAGGGAAATATCCCTATTGAATCATTTTTGCATGTTTTATGCCAAAAAAAATACAAGCCATATAATTATTTCGCGCGGACGAAATGTTGTAAGCTACAAATGCACTTTAAATATTTTAATATCCGAAATTAAATTTAAGAGGAGAGAAATGACTGCGAGTTACTAAAGATTTACATAACACTTTGATTTATTGACATAATACTTTTTAGAAATTCGTATTTTTTTTAATTTTTATTAAATAAATTATCTTTAATAAATTGTTTTTTATATGATTCTGCTAATTGTTGATTTTTTTTTGTAGTCCGGCAATGGTCATTAAATAAGTGCCTGATTTTTTACCTTTTAAGTGCCATAACGTTGCTGCTTGCCTTACCTGGTGCATTCTTTTGAAGATCCCTGATTACTTTCTTGTTGCTCACGAAGCGCTACGGAAGCTTTATCGTAGATGTCAGAGACCAAAATCTCTATATAAAACGTATCGTCATCCCAACTGTTATGTTTGAAAAAACAGAAATAACGAAGAGACTTTGGTCCTATAAACCCACGGATAGTGTGCAAAGTCTCACGTCTTCGTCTAGGAAGTAGTGTATTTGAAAATGTTTATCATGACACCAAAAGGTTATTTTGTTTAGTAGTAAGACCAATTTAACACTATTACGCGTGCGCAGGTGACGTCACGTGTTAACAAGTAGACGTACACTGGTCGCGGTCGGTGACGTTCACATGATGAAGTTTGTTAGCATTTATCTTTACTGGCACTTTTAGTAGCGTTTATCATCATCATACTCAGCCTAAACTTGTCCACTGCTGGACGTAGGCCTCCCCCATCGATTGCCACAATGCCCGGTCCTGTGACGCCCGCATCCAGTGCACTCCCGCAACCTTGACCAGGTCATCGGTCCATCGTGCGGGGGGCCTATCTACGTCGTCGACGCGTCCGGCCGCCACTCAAGGACTTTTCGGACCCATCGGCCGTCCGTTCTGCGGTCAATGTGGCCGGCCCAGTAGTGTTCATGGATACCGCAAAATCTTAAGAATATTACTTTTTTATACATAATCTAGTACTATTATATAGGATGTGAGGATTGATACAAAGGGGAAGAGGTAGGCATGTAAAATGGATTTCATTAAACAGGCGTAAAATCAAACATAAATATAGTCGAACCTGGATAATCGAGAAGCCAAGGGAACGCGATATTTTTCTCTTTTTGGTCTTTTCTTATCCTTGTGCGACTGTATATAGATTTATCAACCTAAAGGTCAAAAAGGTCACAAAGTACAACTTCGTAGGTGTACAATACTTTATTAATGCTTTTAAATACAGAATGTCGATATAACTTATAAATAATATGGAAGAACTGAAAAAAAAAACAAAGTCTTATGATTATTCCAAAGTTTGTATTTCTGAAAGGTAAGATAAATTAAAGATTAAGGGTGTATAAACATTTGGCATAAATAACATTTCATAATAACGCAGTCTAAGAACTCAGAGAAGAAGAAAAAAATAATCACTCATATTTAATCAAAATGATGAAATGTAAAATATAATCGAATAATTATGAAATGTGAAATACAGGGCTTACAAACATTTGGCATGGATAACTTGTCTCGTGAATACAATGAATAAAATCAAAAAATTACCTTACAATCATTCCAAAGTTCGTAATTATCAAGAACATTAATTATTAAGATCATTAATATTATTGGTGTTTATTTATTGCTCATTCTTAGAGGTTCTTTTAGGCACTGAATTATTAAAATCACAAGTTCAAAAACTCCTTAAATTTAATTTTTAATCGAGATTATAATTTAAGCTTGTACTAGCGTGTATGTCGGACTTTGGCGCCGATATTACACACAGACAAACATACCACATCACATGTCACAACGACAATAAAGTGCCAAAACGAAACACAATAACAACTACAATACGTACAAAAATGTTTAAGCTAAAACTCTCACTTTTTTCAATAATGTGAAGTTTATTTTTTTAGTTTTTGTCCACGCATTAGTCATTTATACCTGGAAAGTTTCACGGAAGTGTTAGAAAGTGGTGTTTTTTAATGTCGATAGGTTCTTCCGTATTTCAATATTGGTATTTTCTGTCTTCGCCACCGTAATTTTAGAAAAAAAAAGATCTAATAGCAGTTTTAGACGAAATGTTTAAAAAAAATTTCCTCCATATTGACAGATTTTTTTCATAATCTATATTTTAGTCGTAAAGGATTAAATTCTAAATGCGTGATTCTTTTCTTGACCGTATTTTTTTGTTAATAAAAAAAATTGGTATTATATTATTTTTCAATTATGCTATTAGACTTTATTGATTATTAAAATTGCTGGTGGTAAAGATGTAAAGGTGTTTCATAAGAAAATTTCAACAAGTGCCATTTTTTCAAAATGGCGTCGTAAGCGGCACAATATTAAATACCAAAATTGAAATTCGTAAAAACCGCATTAAATCGCTGATATGATTTTTTCAAATCGCATAAAAACTTTTCAGGTACATTTTATTATTTCAGACCAAAAACACTGGACTAGTTACAAAAAATTGGATATTATTATAAAAAAAATCATAACCAGAAACTATCCATGTTATTTGATCCGTAAGCCACGGCACTTACAATTACAAATAAAAAAGATTTTCGCAAAATTGTATTTCAGTGTCAATCAAAATCAAAATCAAATCAAATAAAGTGTAAAAAAAATCAAATTTTATAAATTGAAATTCAATACAATCGTGGAAATCGTGTTATACTTCCACTAATACATTGTAAGGATGCACGTCTAATCAAATACGCATACTAGTACCAAAAAAAAAACATATTTTTCCCAAAAAAAACAGTCAAATTAGTGTAAAAAATAAGAAAAAAAAAATGATGTAAATTTTTTAGTTAAATATTGTAAAATACGTGCATCCTTTCTACGATAGCATCACAAAATTTTATGCATAAAGATTATATGTTTGTTCACTAGCATTTGCCTTACGCACGACTGGTTATATAATTGTCGGCAAGCGCGAGTGTTTAAGACTAGTATATAATACCTACCCGAAACGATCCGGGGTCTTATGTAATACACTACAACATCAATATCCTGATTATTATATAAGTTATTACTATTACTATAAACGGTTACATGTAAATGAGTTTTAGCAAATAATAACATGCAGTTTTAAAGCGTACAAGCATATTATATATTAATTAACGTTTGTTCAAAATTCCTCTTTTTTTCTTTTTTTATTTTTTTTCTTTGGAAATAATCATAACATTTTATTAATTCGTCCGGTGTATCAGGACTCGTTATATCACAAGGATTTATAAACAACCGAAAAGAAGGAATACAAAAGCAATCCCAAACGTTGCTTTAACCATCCCCTAATGAAGGGGGGAACATTAAAAAAAAATAATGAAAAACTAACAGATTTTCTTAGATGTATTTTTTTTTAAGGAGATAATGTTGGTGGCACCTTAAATTCGGTTGTATTTACGAATAAATGTAATCTAAACTGGGTATGCAACAAAAATAAATAATATATAAAAAAAAAACAATTAGTGTATATTTTAGGGTTACATCACGATAGATTGCAAGGTGTTGTATGCGGGAAGCTTTTCGTGACATAAGGCCTCTTCTACACAAGTCACAGAATATTAAAAGAACTTCGACTCACAGTCAAAATTCTTACGGTTCATACCTTTCAGCCTTATAGTAATAATATTGTACCAACTTATTTTTTTTTTCCAACATCAATGTATCTTTCAGCCGTCTATAACTTAATCATAAGAAATTGATTATACATTTAGAAAACGGTATTGTCAACTCATCAATGGTATAGAAAATAATGTTCACAATATCTATGGCCTCGTCTTGTATAACATATAGTTAAAGTAATCTAACACCAATAGTATTATTGTAATAAATATTTTTTTCAGTCTTTGGTTCCAATGCAGTTCATAGCATACTTTATAAATGCTTTATATCCAATTCATAAAAAAATGTTTTAACAGCTACGTAATATTTTATTTGTTCGACACGTAAACAGTAGGGTAGCATTACATCTGCAGACACATAAAAGTTGAAGCAGATTCGATGCGTTTCACACGTGTACAGGACTAGGTGGGGGTTATTAACTATCATTTAAATTTAAATTAAAAATTGCACAACATTTAAAATGAACAAACACAATGAAATTTTATCGACACAATCATCACAGAATTATTCATAACAAGAGATCCAAATATTATACTTGTAAACGTATTTTCAAAATATATTCTTATTTTAAAAAAAAACAGTAAAAATTTATAATTTAGTAATCGCAACGTAATTTACAATGGAAACGAAAAGGAGCTTCCAAATAACATTATACTTACTGACTATATTGTATTTACATGTTTTGATACTTAGAGCATTAAAAGCTGGATTCGTTTTGTGCTAGGGCATTAATTTTTTATGTTTTTTTGCTTCATACTTCAACTGTTACGTGTCTTAGTTGTGATTATTAGGTTCAAAGGTAAATCACGATACAAATTTGCTAAGGAATGGTATAAACGGAATTTTGAACAACGTATTTATGCGAAAAAGAACCTCTCACTTAAATGGAAATCTATATAAGCAAATAAAACGTATAAAAAACTTTGATATGTTTTTGCTCATCAATTACAAGCTATATACGGTGAAGTCCTTATTGATCGATGTATAATTGCATTGGGCTGAAGGCAACAGTTCTAATTGCTTACACGACTGTTCCGAAAAGGCATCTTTTTCAATTTGAAAATTATTTCCTCTATCGAGTTGTATAAATAACAAAAACAATTTTCTAAATGCCGCTATAGGAAAGAGAATCAGTCAGTCTCTTGTGAATACAATGAAAACTTTGAATTTTATAATCAAACCTAGGATGTTTAACCCTACGCTGTTGAATAAATAGCAGTGGTGAAGTGTTCACATCTTGACGTTCTGCAGCCACTCGATCAATTGCTCTGAAATACAATACATTTATTTATATTAATAAAAGCAAGAAAGAGGAAAACATACATTAATAATTTTGACTACAGAAAAACTGCATTAAATTAAATAAAAAATTCTAATAGCAATGGTTTATTTATGCTATTAGTGGTTGTTTCTTGTTGAGTCTTGTTTTAGAAAGAGAAAGAGATGGATAGAGAGTGAGAGACAGAGTTGTAAATGGGTTGGATATTTCACCTGCGATGGGTCTGCGTGGTCTGAAGCCGCGGCTGCCGTCGGGTCCACGCGGGTTGCGCGTGACTACGACGCGCGGAGCACCTTCCTCGGTGGAAGCAGTGCGCAGCCGCGCCAGAGGACGCTCAGAACGATCTCCGCGCTTCATAGGTTTACTGTAATGTACAAACAATTATAAAAACTCATTAGATGTCACCGCCGTCCGTCTGCACATAATAAAAAAAAACTTACTACTAGTAACTAAACTAGTAGTCTATGTGGTCTTCCAGACTAGGTTTTATGTGTGGCAAATTTCAGCTAAACTCATTCAGCCGTTCTAGAGTAGAGATACCTTCTAAGAAACATCCATACTTTTCTTGTTTATTTATAATATACATGTAACTCGCCTGATCTTAACGACATTGCAAGCGGAGCATTTTCCATTCCTTTGGTTGGTAAGCATGACGAATTCCACCGCGTCTCCGGGCTGCAGATCCGAGGGATTCCCGCGCACTTCCGACATGTGGAAGAACAGACGACGATTATCTTCAGACTCCACGCACAAGAAACCAAACCCACCTGAAAAATATCACAAATTGTTACCCAAAAATTCCAAACACAATTTTGATAAAACATACTATTATGTGTATTTAATTTAAAAACCATAGTCTACAAAAATACCGTTAAAATAATGTCTTTTGGTTCTTCTTTTGACAAAAAAATGAAGAATTCATAAAATACCTTTGACAGCATCAACAATGGCTCGCCGTTTCTTCCTGATAGGCACGATGTTAGTTGCCCTACTCTCCTTGTCCACTTGGAAAGTTACTGGATCACCAACTTGCAGGATTTCCCTCTTGCACGCCAAACCCATTATACCAAACTCGTATGTCATACCGCCTTCAATTTGAATCACACCTAAAAATATAAAATAAACAATACAACGCAATTTATTAAAATAGATGACCTATAGGTCTATATAAGCACTATAGTGCTTGCTATAAATATGATAAACCTTCAAGGTTAATAACAACGGGCTATCTCTAAAGACTTCTTGGCCGTCTGAGATCTCTTTTCTCAACAAACAACATTACGCATAATTCACACGATATCGGAAGTGATGCAGAGCAGTAAACATTGGAGTACTACTATTGATTTAATTTACACGTAATAAACAGAACAGTACTGTTGTAATAGTAATACTGGTCCACCTCAATGTATTGTCCTGTGTTGAGGGCACCTATGGTGGAGACTTGCTGATATTAACCATCACCAGCTCACTATACGTCTGATACGTCTTAGTTGGTTTGGTTAACATCAAGCATATCTTTTAATTTCTGTGAAATTGTGTGCAGGTTTCATGTTTTCTTTCAACGTAAACAAGTCGGATATACATATGTAAATCAAAAATCGAAAAACCCATTATCACATGGTGGGATATGAACCCAGGACCTGCAGAGCCAAGTGTTTAACTCCTGGGCCACCGATACTCTACACCACTGATATTCCTGGTTAAACAAAACAATCTTACCAGAATATTGTGCTTGATCAGGGTTAAGGGCACGAAGGGTCCTGGTCACAGTGCCATTGATAGTCGGCTCCAGTGGCTCAGCAATAGGTAAAGACCCTTTAGGCAAAACACGCACAAATTCAGCACTAGCGCACCCGCCCCCTGATCCGTTCACACGTCCCAATGAATACTCCACCTCTGTACCCAATTCCAAATGATCAGGATTGCCTTCCAAATTGCTGTCAAATAAACAAATTATTTTATAGTAACATTGTATTGTACTAGCAATTGCCTGCGACTTCGTCAGCACAACATTAAAAAAAAAACTATCACCCGAGAATTCAATGAAAACAAACAATAAAATCTTTCCTCTTTATAATATTAGAATGCGTGTCAATTATTTCGCCGGCTGAAGGTCAGCCGCACGGTGCGCAATATGTCTCTCCCCCCGCATCCCTTTTCGGCCTAAAATTGTATTCTGCGCAGCGACTCACGCGGTATTTCGAGCCGTCAACATATTTCACTTGTTTGTAATGGATGATGGAATATTAATCTCCATGAGACGCATTATTATGATTGCGTTTTCATTGAACTAAATGCATTTTTTCATAATAAAGACGAGCAATTATTAGATTTATACATATTTAAAATGTTCTATATCAAAGAAATTTATTCAAGCAACGGTTGAATTTGCATTGTATCGTTCAGCAAGCTCTTGAATTGAATAAGAGGTCGATCCTTTTATTCAATTGACAATCTGCATTGGCTCAGTTATATGACTGGGACGATGGCTATAAATACTTATTTACTCAATTCTCAACACTGATAAGTACGAAAGAAGATCAATATAATTGGCCACAAAGTACTATGGTAGCGAATGTGACAAAGTTATTAAAACTGACAAACCAATTAAAAATAAATCCAATATCCGAGGATTTCATTCCTAAATTGGCAATATCATATATCGTAAAAAAAATGGATGTCTGCTATTAAAATCACCGTAGGGAAAGCGAACAAAATAATCGACACGCAATCAGACTGCGTTTTAACATGAGTGGATTTAAATTAAACGATTTTAAAGTTTCTTTCAACCTTAACACGACCGCGTAAAGTTCAATATTTTATAGGGCATAAATTTCATTGCATGTAAGTGTATACGCGGGGTATCCACGTTCAATGTTGACTCTAATGACCCTCCTCTTCCCTTTTAGTTCCTACGCCCGTTCCGCGCCACACTCGCGACCTTTTTATTTTGCATGAATTCTTGTCTCGTCTGTAACGATTTTTCATTTTGCATTGGCCCTCCCCGGACTGTTTACATATGAAAATACATTTGTTACGAACACTTTGAAATCGTTAATATAGCTTTATTACTAACTAGCTGTCGCCCGCGTCTCCATCCGCGTGGATATAATATAAAATTAGTGTAGCCCATCCATCCATCCATCCACATCACATCCATCTAAACTTTCGCTTTTCTAATATTAGTAAGTTAAATAAAAAGCAGTTCTTCAAGGCATAAATTCGAAAAAATAAGTAGTATCCTATGTTCGTCTCCTGGCTCTAAGCTACCTCCTCACCAATTTTCAGGCATATCGGTAAAGCCGTTCAGGAGTTATAAATAGTGTAACTAGCACGACTTTCTTTTATATATATAGATAACTGAAAATTGCGACTTTATATGCGTAGAGGAGAAAAAATACGTTTTTCTTTCAGTCTCAAAGACTGTTTGACATTTTAACAAAGACTTAAAAAAACATAACGAGAAATGAATATAGTAGTAACTGGAAATAGGCTTTCGCAAGTTTAATATAATGTTAACTAAAAAACGCTAACAAAATCAAGGAGTTTTTTTTAGGAAATTTTTAAGAAGTCCGGAAGTTTTAAGACTACAATTGTTATTTTAGGATGGAGTACCCTACGTGTCCCCAATCGTAAACAATAAGACGCAAAACATACCATAATGGATTATTAAAATTTATTCCCAAACAACATGTTGTCAGAATACAAAACGACACGCGCGTAGCCTTGTGTCATGTAAATTTGAAATTCACTGAATTCAGGTCCATAAATATGGAGACTTGTTGAAGGTTTCATATTGAACGCAAAACGTAAACAAACGAGAAAAAAAAAGTGTTTTGAAACAACGGTATAAATTACTTTGGTCGTAAACAACATTTTTTTTTTAAATATTGATCAGATTGAACTGAATCTTTGAAGGGCTTTCTAAAGATGACAGAGAGGGATTCTGTTTTCATTTTTTTTTATAAGACAATGTAAGGATTTAGTTTAAAGTAAGATTGCAATTCTGTGAAACATATAATTATTTCTAAGGAATAAAATGTTAATTTTCTTTGAAATACCTTTTTACCAAAATATCATATTATTAATTTTTACTAGTAAAATAATATTTTAAAGAGTACATACCTGAAATGGAAGAAAACTTCCTTGGTGTGATCGGCTGTTTCAATAAAACCAAACCCATCTTTGAGGGCAGCAACAAAACCCCTCATAATAGGACGGCAACTACCACTGATGCTACCATTTGTAAGGCTATGTTGGGTTTGAACAGCCATCGCAATCAACTCTTTAGTTCTTTTTATCTACAATTTAATTTTATTTTTTAGACAGACTTTAATATTAAGACGGACACATATTTTAGAATAAAAAATCGTCAATTCTAGAAATTTAATATAAAAAACATTCTGTAAAATTAAATACATACCTTAATTACATGTATTACATAATGAAATAAAATAAATACATACCTGATAAAGATCAAAAATAACTTTATCCCCATTACGGGGTAACATCTTAGATTCACATTTTTTGGCAGTGTAAGGCAAAGTTTTCTTAACTCCATTGATTTGTGCAGTAATAAGGCCATTATAATCCTGTACATAAAAAGCAAAATTTCATATTTTTCCTAAATATAAAGTATAGAGGTTGACATATATCTTGACGGCTCGAAACATCCTTCAATTTGTCAGTCTGGACGAACACATAGGCTATTTATTATATACTGTTCCAGTGGGATTCGTTTGATTTACATACTCAATAGCTAATCGTATCGAAATTTAGCACAGGTATAGAACATAGTGTCAAGAAAATATTAGTACTACTAGTCATTCTTTTTTTTGTCGATTCCGCGTTGTTAAAGTCGCGAGCAAAATCTAGTTTAATAAAAATTAGGTGAAGCGGCGCGCAGCAGGATACGGAGGGAGGGCAGTGCGCAGTGCGCAGCTCACCTTGAGCCGCCAAGATATTTGAAAACACTTATACTTGTATAAAATACATACGATGGACGATTTTCTATTTGGGCTCGAAGATGAGGTCAGCAATTGTGCCTCCTTGGTCACAACCCCACGAATGCCACGCTCAACTAAACACTCAAAATTAACAGACCCCGGAGACAAATGCTTAATACGTATTGCAGTTTGACGAGTGTTCATATTAGAGAAGGTCGACACAGGATCAACAGTAAATTCGACCTGAACAAAAATATTAAGACACATCAGAAATTAATATAAGTATGGATATTTTGTACTAGGGAAGACTTTAAGATATTGTCTGTTTAAATATAGGGAAAAAAATTCGAAACTTAATTTTTTTTTTAAATTCAACTTACCTCATCTCCAACACTCAGTTCTCGACCGAGGCGTAGAACTTCAGTAAAATAAAAAAGCATTGTTTGTTCCCTTTCCACACAACGAATAAAACCGAATCCATCCCTCAGAGAACTGACAAGTCCTTGTTCACGTCTGTATAAAAAACATATTTTTTTTTAGTCATCTTCAATAACCAAACTTTATACCAAAAACTTTTAAATAGTTTTTTCTCACCTTTCACCAGATACATTAAACGATTCTTCAAGTAAAGTAATATTCGTCGCACGTTTAAGTTGGTCCCTCCTATCAATGGCGACTTGGAACTGCACCCAATCGCCGTGGCGCAGTGTAAACTCCCCAATTTGATCTTTATCCCCAAATGGGACCTATTTTATAAGTTTTTATTTTATTATTAATCTGTGTCAACATACTCATTGCCATGTGCAGTCTGTGGCACTGAAAGTGTTTAAAGCAAAAAATAAAAATAATAACCTCTACTTCAGAATGGTCCTCTGCACGATATCTAATTCTTCCCGGTAGAGGGTCATTTTGTTGTGCGCGACTCATGCTACCACGCTCGAGAGGTTTTAATACTTGACCCTTCTTAAGTTCTGGACCAACATCTTCAAACACTACTGAACCACTTGGCAGTTTTGTTATATTGCATGCAACTTCTTTACCCTGTATAAAAAAAATTATATTACCTATCTTGTAAAGAGAAAATTATTTAAAAATATCATCATATAAGCCTTACATTTCTAGTTTGAATGATAAATTCAACATCGTCCCCTAACAGCAACTCTTCTTTGGTCTTTGCCTCTGAATAATGAAAGAAAATTTCCTTAACAACATCAGCCCGTTCAATAAAACCGAAATTTTCTTTCATCGAACATATAACACCGTGATATTTAACAGGGTGTACAGGATTTTCAAATCTAACATGACAAGCGCCCAATGTCCCCCTAAAATAGAATAAAGTGGTTAATATAATATTGTATGTACAATCTAAGTTATTATAATATAGTCACCTTACCTCTGATTGGTTGCAATCTGAAAGCTAACAGCATCTCCAGTGTGTAGAGTTACATTACCTTCAACATCATCTTTTGTGTAGGGCAAAAAGAAGCATTCACCTCTGTTCTCATATGAAATGCGTCCAGTATTATCACCAGAGCCCTCACCTTTCACTTCAGTTGTAACCGTACCTGTTACTCGAGCTTCACTCAACACCTACAACATCAAAACAATAATAAATACTTACTTTTGTAAAGTGAAAAACTTACAAAAGAAATTTGGTTTCAACCATACCACTTCTGGTGCAATCTTTGTTACCGTGGAGGCAATAGGTTTTCCGGTGCGTCGATCGTAGCTCATAACAAATTCAACTGGATCACCAATTTTGAGATGTTCAATATTGCCACTGAACTGGCTGAAGTGGAAGAACAAACGGGCCTGTCTTTCGCAACATTGTATAAACCCGTACGAATGCTGAAATAACGTTATTACTTATAACAAAGTACAAGACTCCAAAAACTTGTAATAACAATGTCATATCTCTCTCAATTTCTATTTTATAATACAAGGAGAAAGGGAATAACTCACCAACAGCTTCTCTATTATGCCAGTTTCCCTTATCGAAGGGCAGTTGATGGAATCATAGTTAGATGAGGCATTATTGGTGGAGCTGGATGAATAGGCACCAGCAGAGTCCCCCATTGGGCAGCCGTCCAAGTTATAGTTACTAAGGGGATATCGGTTTCCACCGCTTGACTTGTTCATATTGTTAAAGTTATCTCTAGGCGAACTAGGGTACTCACTGCTGTAAGTACCTTTAGACAAAAATATCAATATTTTAAATATGTACTATAATATAACAATAAACAACATCATCACATGCTGTTAACAAAGCTTGTTCTAATCTTAAGAGAAAGGATATGTGCGAAGCAAATTAAAATTGGCATAATCTTAAATATCTTTGTGGTCTATAAAAGTCTACTAGTAAATAATAATCTTATTATGAGGGTCGGCAAGACACCGAGTAGAAACACAGACTTCAGACCTTTACTAGATTATAATATTTTGTAACTAGCCTTATTCTCATATGTTTACTCCTTTTTTATTTTTGTTTCCATGTTTTCAATATCCGTATTTTAAAAACAATAATTTTGTTCCAGTCTGGTTGGTACTCAATATACAGTGATGAACTTGTTAGAATTTATGAGATGTAATAATTTTAGTAAAAATCTTTGTATAACATGTAAAGCCCAAGTGGTTAATTTTTAGCCAATTTTTTAGTAATTCAGCTATTGGTGAGTAGTTTTAAAGTAGAAAATAGACATAAAGAAAGAGAAAAATGAATTAGACCCACCCTCTTTGTTATAAATATAAAAAATAAAAATATGCCTGCTTTTTATCTTTTAAACATAAAAAATGTGATCATGATGTAAGTTGTTTACGAGGAGCTAGGGCCTACAAGCTCAGTTATTATAAATACCTACATACATACGAGTTATATCTGAATACTAAAAATATATGAAGTTAACAGGGTGATAATGAATGATGCAAATTATGAATTACTTAGTGCAGATGTTTTTGATCTAAAAACAACAAAATTAATGTTGGGAAGATAGTTAAATTTTATAGATATTTATTATCATATTACTGTGTATAAATATCTAACTTTGATATTAACCAATCATGAGTTGTAATCTAGTGTTCCGCTGGTTAGATACATAAATATGCATAATAAATAGTAAAATATGAAATGACAAACATAAGTTTTTATATCAACAAACAGAAAAAAATGTATAACCAAATGGGATAAAAAAATAATTTCAATAAAAATTAAAATTACTTATATAATGTTTTAAATTTTTAAAATATTAGGAGGACATGATTTGACTACTTCATTCGCTCAAGTTTATGCTCAAAAAATTCGCAATTATGGAAAGCAATATTCGCCAGCAACTTTGTTTTACCAAATTTACAAATTATTTGTAATTCTGGCAACTGTACAATTGTTAATATTCGCAACATTTTTTTTTACATATCAAATTTAAAAAATAGTTTTTGTTCTCCTTGCTATGGAGCATATGTATATTTGAAAAATAAGAATTTCAGTATGTTTACAATTGTCAAGACTAACCAGTCTTAACTAAAATTTCAACAGTGTGCAGTACATTTGGTTTACAATTTTTAAAGAAAAAAGTTTGGCTCTTTGAGCTTGCTGGATTTGGAAAAATCAAAGAAGAAAGGTAACAACAGGAATTCATAAAAAAAAATAACAGAACTTGAAAAGTTTGTTTTAGACTAACTTATATTAAAGTTAGTAATAAAAAACATCATATAACAGACAAAAAGGAAAGCATAGATGAAATTTAGAAGTGATGGTGTGCCAATACCATGCAAAATTGAAATCCATAATATCTGCTATATTTCATAATTATGGGTGTGATTTTCTAATTGATATGAGGTTATTTTTGCAGTATAAGCCCCAGATATATTTAAGAAATAACACTTTACATACTGGTATGTGTGAAAGATGAAATTATGATGTATGATAATGATACAAAGCATATTAACACTTAGAAATTGTTTCTATAGTAAGCTAAACTATTATAAAGTCTTACTATAGGAAATATTCCCACAGATAGAAGTAGCAATTTGTTTAGGTGTGTTAGATGGATCGGGTGCTGGATGTAGTTAATAAAAAAAAGAAATGATTTTTACATAAAACATAAATAATTAGTATCAAAAATATAAACATAAAATATTATAAATAAGATATTCACCAGTACGGAACACTTGTTTGTTTTGCATATTGGGGTGCTGAAGATCTAAAATATCCTGCAAGGGGGAGGAGTGTGAATCTGACGGCTGGAACATTTTCCACTGAGGATTACCGGACATTTCTTCTTATTGCTCTCTTTGTATATGGGTCGAAAAACTCAGTATTTATGTACCAATATATCACAGAAACTTGTAATTGTATGATGTTACACCTAACAATGGTATATATGTTTAAAAAAAGCAAATCACACTTTCTAATTCTCCAAGTTCAGAACACCATTGAGTTCTTGTAAAGTCACAATTTATCACCAATAACATTGAAGAATAAAACTAGTTAGGATCATGTCACACTATATCCTCAGATGTCTTCAATGCTTGCTGAATCGAAGCACAGCCACAGTGCTTATTTCACTGATGATATTTTGTTAAACTTGACTTCCTAAATGTAAAAAAATCTCGATTTATTACATCTTTAAATTTGGAATAAACATATTCTGCAAACAATAATATTATAGAATTATGACTTCAAAAATTTAATTACACTATAAAGTTGTTAAACCAAAAAAGATTTTATATTCATTTTAACGTATTATAAATCGGAGCTACAACGAAAAGATAAATATTTCAAAACTAATGGTCTACATTTATAAATCATCTATAAAACGCTATGAAAATTTGAAAAATCGAAAGCGCCGTCCAACAAGGGCCGCTATTGGCGACTACTTTACCGATATACAAATATACTTGAAATACGTAAATAACCGTAATACAGTATATATGTACGACATAATAAAGCGTCGGAGTACTACTACTGTTCGTTTAATGCTATGTAGTTAGATGTCTACAGAAATTATAACGAAGTTCGCCACCCCTCAACTCAATTAACTAAATCATCTAAATTAAATAGCAAGCCGCATTATATAAAAACAACAACGATATTTTTTTTGCAAAATTTAACGGATAAAGAATAGCAAGGAACAGCCACAAAACCAATAAATTAACAAATCTCACCACGACACAGCATAGCACTGACGACATGCCGCCATATTGAATGTCAAGATTAATCGAGATAATCGCGACTATGATCGTGCCATTTAAATTGTTTAAATTTTATTGAAAAGTGCAATTATTAAGTTTTAAGATGAGTTAACATTTATATTGGGCTTATATTTCATAAATAATTAAATTTTTAGAAATTTTGTGTGTGTTTTTGTCTGAAACCGCGAACTAATCAAAGATTTGTTTTTCTCGATTTTAGAAAATTAGTCAAATGTGGCCATTACTTTTGATTTTAGAGAAAATCCAACATGCAATAAATATTATGTAAAATACTTATTTCATATATAATACGGTCTAACACAAAAAATTACATTAAAAAATAGTTCCAATATTTTTAAACCTTGTCGAGTTATGTCATACCTAATTCTTATTAAACCATTATCCCGTAAAGTTCAAATTAAGTAAGTTTAATAATAACTTTACAAAACCTTAGTAAAAAAAAGTTATCACGAAAGAATAAAATAGGGTTACACATTCGACCAAAATTTGAAATAAAATATTATTTTAAAAACTAAAAGTAGTACTAGTATTATGCGAAATAACAGCAAAAACTAGCCAATGGTAACATCGATTAAAAACGAATGCGTTCACTACCAATAATCAAACGTTTTCAAAAAAAAAATTATGGGGTTTTCTTAACAACTCAAAAACAAAGTTAATTATTGCCTAAACCTAATCCGTCAATTTTTTTTATTAAAATCCTACAAAACTCAGATATAATAGAAATAATTTAAATTGATTAAAAAATCTTAGCAAGCTCCGTAAAAATCGGTTAAAGAAAAAAACAATTTCGAATTTTTTTATTTTAAATAATCGTTGCTTTGTCGTGTTTATAACATTGAGCAGTGGTAAATTTGCTTATAAAAAACAATTCTGTTTTATCACAGATTCTACTTACATTATTCATTCCTTTACTTTAAACAAACTAATTAACTCGCGCCCAAACTTATCTGTTCGGTACCAACTCGGAACTGCACTACAGTTCGACAAAGATCGTGAAGGAACTTTGGCAGTTTCGGGAGTCGGAAAACATGTAAACTAACCCTGTCATTTTGACAGGGTTATATTTTGACCAATGAGAGAGCGGCAGTTGCACTGGTTTATGTTGCCATTTTATTATTTCGAAATTCGCAAATTGATTTGCGATATCCAGAACACATCATCATCCATACAAACATTTGTATTAAAAATATTTTTAAGGGATAGCCCCCTGAAATATAAACCCTAAGGGTAATAATATATGTCCAACTATTCCTCCTATGAAAAATCCAACAATCAATGTCAACTCAATGTTATCGACACGATCCGGTACTATCCTAGGCCGGTCTAGATAAGCGAAAAAGCTAAAATAATTCACCTAGAACGATTTTCGCGAAAAGGCATGTTTTATTAAAAAAATATGTATGTTTTAGACCGTTGTAGATCATAAAATTATCTTTAAATAACATCTACTTAATTGTTTTTACGATCCACCGTTTCTGAGATATTGTGACTGAAAAGGTTAAAAGTAGTCGTAGTATAGAAATCCCCATTTTGCGTGAATTTGCGCTTTTTTATTAGTAGATTAACTAATTAGTGTTGCCTAGTTTAGAGATGGCCATCACACATCAATAAAGAATGTGCCGAAGACTGACGGCAAAACAAGAACAATTCACTGGCAATACTTAAGTGATGTCAATTCGAGTCGACCCGCGAATGAGCCGCGAATTCAAAAACCCCTAAAGATTTTTTCCTTTCTAATAACTTACAAACCTCAAACCTAACAGGATAATAGTGCATTATTATTAAATTTTAATTAACGGACCGATACGGACCATGTATCGTTAGTGATCATGATCACTGAGCAACACAGCAAATTTGAGACATGGAAACACTTCGATCAAACATAACCTTATTGAAAATGAATTTATTTATTAAACAGAATTTAAATTGCACATATTTGACGGATCAAATAGGATGGTAGCGTTTATTTACAAGTCTGTTTGTACAGAATATGCATGTGACCTATTTTGTAGAATGATGTGTCACTTGATACATATTCTCTGCCCGCGGCGACTTAGAGATCCGTGGAGGATTGAATAAAATTTGCAGTAAATTTAAATGGAAATACCGTTTAATGGAAAGACGTTGTATATGTTATCTATCTTTATACGGCACTGTTTAAAATAACAACATCTTCAAGCCAATCTTTGAAATCAGCAATACGTAATATTACAAAGGGAAATATTTTATTCTGTCGCTCTCCCCACGAGAATATACCAAAGACGTCGAAAGCATTTAGTAATGCTGCACCATGATCTGAAACATTTTGTCACATAACTTATAATATCTTACGTACATTAATCAAAAAGCATTTAAAACCAATTTTATTTACATATTTGTTCAATATTTTCAGCCACAACACAACCTATTCATTAACATCGATCGAACTATTACAGTAATATAAATTTCATGAAGTTATAAATTCAGGTCAACTAGAAACCGGCTAAATATAGCCTTAGATCGATTCTTTTGTTTTCTAGTTACATTTTTCATGAAAATGATACTGGTACAAATTGCGATGACATACTTCGCTATAACATACTTACATAAATTAAATTGATTCGTATCCTGTAAAGTAAAACAATATTCGTAACTCCGTAAGTCGACGACAGGTGCCACAAAGTTAACACATTTAACTCTATCCATTATATTTACAACGTACAAACTGTATGGTTCTTCAACACTTTCTGAAACATATTTTGTCTTATAAAGACACTGTAAATCTTAAGTTTTTTACCTAACCAATTGGATTACATATTTAAATCCAAAACACATTTTCAACTAGTGCGACTATTTATTTAAAGAAAGTATTACCACTTTTACTAGGAGTCATTTAATAGGAGTCGTGCAAAGCGTGTGGTTTAGTGGAAAAGACTAAGTTCATATTATGCAAAAATATTTCTTGTTATTGACGTATCCAATACGACGGGATACCAAATACCATCCACAGCCAATTTACATTGTTGGTTGATGTTTGAACATAATTTAATACCCAAATATATTTCTTTCTATGTCAATTATGTTTCATCATCTTAATGGAGTCGTTTGTCTCTTCTTTAAAAAAGCAAGATCTAGTTATTTTTACTATTAATTTTCTAGTTTTAAGTAGATTAGAATTACCTTTATCATAAATGGTAACTTCATTCCAAGATGTCATACGTAATTTCTCATTACCAAATATCACATGATCGTTGAGATTTATGGATCTATTAAATGCTATTAAAATGTTTGTTAGTGATTATTATTTAATTTTATTTATTGTAAGTATCCTATTATTATTATACATTTATTTAATTTATTTAATTTTTAATATAGTGCATGTCATATACAAAACATATTATATTAAAAATAGAAAACCACCGGCTGCAGAATCCCATGACTCAAACAATCAGTGGTCAGGGCTGCAGAGACAGAAACCTTCTCACGATGCTCGCGGTTTCTAGGATAACTGCCTTTTGTATCGGGCCCTTAATCAAACTGTTTAGCGAGAGCTTCTTGATATGTTGATCGAAGCTCTTCGCTGTCAGTCCATTTACCAATACGACTATCGGAATAAGGGAAGGCGATTTCATACGCCACATGGCGGTAACCTGTAGGTATCTTATTATGTACAGACTGCAGTTAAAGTTAAAACTTCCTTGTTATTCTTTAGTTAATCAAATCTATTGTCCATATAATGTATTTGGATTAAATTATACTTACTTATATATTGATGGATCGGTACCGAAACTGTGTGTTCTAGTAGACCAACATTGTTACTAAAGTCGTCTCGATTGAAATGAGGATGAGCAATACTTCTCCTTATTTTAGTAACTAGAAAAATATATTATTATGTTATTGAAATAACGATAAGAGATAGGAAATATCGCTAAATAATTTTAAATTAAACATGACGATCGTTATTTCCACAAGCTTTTCTTTTCTATGCCCACCGCCCAAAAACCTGTACAATGACATGTTTTTATCTATTTTTCTTTAAGGGAATGGGGTAAATTATGAATATAACATTTTATGAATTACTATAATAGAAGCATCTGCACTTAACCTACCTTTAAATTTTAAATCAGCCGTTTTAAATTTAATCTCCCATTTAGGAAGCAATGCCGCCAACGAGGGATCACTTCTAATAATAACACAATGCGCAGGTGCTATTGACCATTTCTCCCGGAAAAGAATAGTATTGCAAATCACCCGGATAGGATTCGTATTTAAATAAAGAACGCCTATAGGCAAATAATCCGGTGTAGTGATTTCTGGAATAACATTGGTATTTTTCATGAATAAAAATCTTCACAACTTGTACTCATATTATGTGTATCGGGCACATTGTACCAAATGGTATCGCGTAACGTTGTTCTTGTTACTCACTAAACTATTAGAATGTTGTCATTTTATGTCATAAATTAGCAAACGAGCAAGCAGCCATCTGAACTCGCCGAAATAGCGAAGGGACCTCTCCCCATAGACATCCACTATTGCAGTTGCATTGCCTACCGAATCGACGGACACAGAAAAAGAATGTTTTCCCTTTTTATGCGTCCCCCTTCCCATCCTTCCATTGTAAAAAAAATGGTTAGCAGAGAAAAAGAAGTTAAATAACGCCTCCAACACGTACACTAATCAGACGAAATGTGGAGTTGTTTCCACTACGCGTAGCTTAGCATATTGAAATTTACCTTTAATTCCTTCTTGTAATGATACCAAACGTCGTGTGTTCAGGTAACTGTTACCTGGATGATTGATTATGCACAGATGCACGAAGTATATGATAATCGATAAAATTATCAAAACAAATGTTAGTATTAAATGAATAAAAATACATTTTTCTCCTCTTGTAAATTTTGAAGACTTCGCAAGGTCGAATCGGTCCATTATAGGCATCTCGACGGCCTTGATTTAATGACGTATAACTTTTAATATGTTATATGTTTTTAATTTTTAAGAAAACAAAGGTTCGATTATCACATAAATTGGTATTATTGTAATAGAAAAAAAAAGAAAAATAAAAAAAATTATTCGACTCTGCCAGGATTCGAACCTGGAATCTTCTGATCCGTAGTCAGACGCGTTATCCGTTGCGCCACAGAGCCATGTGATTTAAATGGAAAAAATTTACTTCATATGATAATAGTATAAAAAAATTTAAACAAAATCAACAATATAATGAATCATATTACCAAACCAGTTTGAGTCATTTCATAAAGAGCCCACCAACATGAATTTCAAACCAACTGTTTTATTATTATTTTTATAAACAAGGAACAAAATACAAACTTACAATAAAAGTGTCTATAAACCTATTGCGGGTTTGTCCAGACACTTTGGTACTACGCTATGAAATTAAACAGTAGGTAAGTTTAATTATTTTTTTTGTTTACACCAAATTAGTGAGTTCGCTCGAACCGTCATATACAGGGTGCACTATAATTTTATAAGAATTAGGATTTTAGATGATTTTTAAGTATGTTTTTGTTGTATATCTTGTTTACTTACGCTGTTATTTTTACATACTCAATGAAAACAACATGTTGAGATATTTAAATTGTTTACTAATATAAATAAGGAACAACAATAGTATGAAGAAATAGATGAAAAATCTAATACATTTTGTTATACATATATATATAATGAGTATCATGTTTTGTTTTACATATTTTGGACACGACTATAACACATATAAGAAAATACTACACTTATAATTCCTAGCATTAAATTTATGTATTAGTCTGTCATTTCAATATAAAATTGTTATTGGGATGTCTTTTTATAACCATTTAATTTTAAAAAGTAGACAATTTACACGGTAGATCAAAATCGTTATAAAAAGGATGTCTCGAGGGAATAATATTTAAAAAGTTATCTGAGATTACAATTTAAATATTATTTTAATTTAAAAATATTGAATTTCTTAAATTGATCGTTATGAATAATAAATGCTATTTATGAACATCGAATATTAAAAATAAATAGTGTGATTTACTTATTTGGCCCGATGAGAGAGGCAATTAGTTGTCAGAAAATTTTTAAAACTTTCTTAGGCATGGCAAATGACAAAATAAAACATAAGACAAGTGTAGTTTGTCTATTATATTTTGATTAGTTTGACAACTGACGCATATGGTCAGATTAATGTTGTATGAAGATTAATTTTATAATTAATGGATGGGTGTCATAGAGTAAGAAAAAGAAAAAATAAAAACCTCCAAAAGAGTCAACATAGTAAATTAAAAATGCTTATAATTTTGTTTATAAAATTGATTTTGATATTAGTCACATTTGGTTTTGAAGATTGAAATATGGATAGAAAGTAAAAAGGAAATATAAATCCAAGACGATATTCATGAAAATATCGATACTAAGTTCTATAAAACAACCATAAAGAATCAAAAAGATTTTACTTAACACATCCGTACTGAGTTGTCAAACTAATCATTATAAAATGGGCAAATCATCGTCATATAAGGGCATCTGGCCCGGAGAGGCGTTGCTGTCGCGGTTGACTTTGTCACAATATAAATAAAACCCACTTATATGCAAACAATACAGAAAAATAGAAAACATGACAACTAAAGTACAAAGATCATGTGTCATTTTTGACGTTGACAGGGAGGCGCTAGTGAGCTGTCATAATTTAATTTGACTTATGCCCACTGGTATAGATAGCCTTGTCGTTCTATATACATTAAGACAAGGATGGTGTTACACTTATTGATCTTGACACTTTGTAACTGTCAATATTGCCCACCGGGTCATACAAGTTTGTCGGTCTATAGTTTATATTAGTCATAAATTATAGTGAAAAATATGACTAATATTTAAATTCGCAAATTCATTTGTAAGCAAATTTTTTTAATGTTTGCGACAAGCAGATCTAAATATACACATATTGCATACTTACATCTAAAGATTAAAAACAAAGTAAACTTAAATTCAACTAATAACAGTGACTTTCTATCGAATGTCTTATCAGACATCAACATTTTATTGTTTACAAGTTACAGGAAGAAAAGAAAATAGTTAACATACTTTTAAACTTGTTCTATGTTCATATCTTAAATGTATATATAAGACATGCAATGTATTTGGGAATTCACTTACGAAATATCATAACATATAAACATAGATATTTCTAGACACAATTCGCTTAAGGTTTGTCTAAAAAACAGTTTTTTTATCAAAATGTGGCAAGCGAGCTAGCGGCCACCTGAAATCGCTGAAATAGCGAAGCGACCGTTGCCCATAGACATATACACAATGGCATATGCGTTGCCTACCCTTAAACGACATAAGAGAGGATGCGTAGAAAGAAAATATATTCCCTTTCCCATGCATCCCCTCATCCGGAAAATCCACTTTTACATCCTATCTTTCCCTTATAAGAAAAGGGGTGGGAAAGGAAATAGGACCAAAAATTATGGCTCCGGGACGCACACTCATCAGACTGTACGCGGAATTGCTTTCACTTGTCGAGTCTCTTTTGTGTGGTCGTGGTATTGCACCTGGTGAGCTGGGCCAATTAGTGGCGAAGATGTTATAGCCGGCTCTAGGTTGTCTATTATTTTATTAAAAATATTATATTAGTCAGTATTGCCATGTGCAAATATTCAATGACTTGTTTTCAGTTCATTGAAAATATTAATGGTTATCATATAATATACGGGTTAAACATGCAATATATAAAAAAGATTTCCAATTGCTTAATTATATATCATCATCATCAGCTCACTATATGTCCCCACCGAATGGCTCGGAGCCTGCCCTAAGTTAAGGGTGACTAGGCCATAGTCAATTATATATACCAATGTTTACTTATGCAGTTAAAATTTACTGTTAAAGTTTAAAAATACAAATTTAGAACTATTTGATAATAAAAAATGTTGGTGTTTTTGATAAGGTAATTTACAATTTCATCAGTGCTATGTTGTTGGAAAGACTAGTTATGTACAATATGTTTGATTGTATATCATAATACTACAGACATATAAAGCACAAAAGTACACTGCATTATGAATGTATGTCGACTAAATTCACATTTTCTAAGTTCATCTAAACTACACGTATATAACCTTCGTTATGTTTTTCTCGAAGGATCTGTCATCATATGTTGCCTATATACTTGCAATAGTTTAGCTACCAAGCTTGACATAACAGGATTGCCATTAATTATGTGCTGAAATATAATTAAACAAATTAAACACAATCTTACTAATATTATAAATTCAAATTTTTAGATGGATGGATGTTTGAAGGTATCTTCAGAATGGCTGAATGGATATCGATGAAATTTGGCATACATATAGAATATAGTCTGGAAGAATACATAGGCTACGTGGCAGTGTGTCAGTTGAAAGACATCTGCAAATATACGTTGCCTATATTGGATGAGTAGAAGAAAGTATGTTTTGTAAATGGAAATTTTCATTTTGAATGCGTATTTTCATTTTTTTTCTCTGAAAAAAATCAGTTCCCTTCTCTTAGTAGAAGGACAAATGAGAATAAGAATTAAAATTAATGAAATCATTAACATATAGTTTTTGTTGACTCTGTATTTAAAGTTATACACTATGTTTTTATGGTAAATTTTGAGGAAATATTAAAGTTATATGTACCAACATAACAAAAATTTGATTTTACCAACTTACCCTACTTGCATCCTCCTGCATTCCAGGAATAAGGTTGGAATTGATCGCACTGCTCATCTGTTCCAGTAACCACTGAAAAAGTAAGAAAAAAACATTAAAAATAAAACTGTCAATTATTTTAAGTTGCCAAGCCAATCTTTGGGAGCCTATGCCCGGTAGTGGGCGTCATATGGTTGAAGAGAAAGAGAGAGAGAGAGATAGGAACTAATATTTAGTAAAAAAGAAAACCGACATTTACCGTTTGCCTTTCCCCTGAATTCGGCGACGATATCGGTCCACTGGTAGCGGCAGGTTTTGCTTGGTACTGAAATGAAAAATAAAGTTTATTTGAACATTTCTACAATACACTTTATATATAATGTTAGTTTCACACTTTTACATACTCAGTTCCAAATCAAAACCTAAAGTTTGTAAAGCATTTCATATTTTCTCTTCGTTCTTTCGTTTCTTCTGTTTATTTGATAATTTTAACAAAATTTGGAATGAAAATATAGAATTATTTGCTTACAAAATATAGATTTTGGTTTAGATAAACATATACCTGTAACCATCAAACCTGTAAGTCGATGTTAGCTAAAAAGATAATAATATTGTAAATACACTCTGACATTTGGTCAACTATTTGTTATATATTAAAATTAAAAGTCATTAATATATAAAACACCTTAATAAAAATTACCGCCTTTATCACTTATGTTTATAATCATCTGTTAGGTAAGTCGATGTCTGTATAAATACACAGTCAAAGAAATAAATTCATTTCCCATTTGAAGTAGGAGCAAGTACGCCTCTCAACGCATCTTTGTTTGCATTGTATGATTTGACATGGGTCTGCGACCATCATCCACGCCGCCCGCATCGTAAGACAAGCAAAACTAATTCGTGCGTGCGGTACATCCGGCGCGGTCAAATAGACGCGTACCTTTAGAATCGAATGTCGTATAGCTGTCATGGTAATTGCAACATTATAACTAGTATGTCTGTTGCTGACGCTAAGAATGACAAGTTTTCAACCTTTGCATTCTGATCGACAAATGACATTTCAACGACATGGAATGGGAAATAAGTATCCTCGACTGTTCACTCGTAAGGTCGAGATTTACGAACGATACAATTAACTTCGTTGACGATGTTTTTGTGAAGAATGTTTACACACCAAAGTATAACAAAGTAATGGAAGTAACAAAGTTTTATTTAGAATAAAGTGTCGAAGAAAAAAGTTAATCGTCAGATTATGTTAAAAGCAGCAACGTCATATAATTTAAAAATCTTAAAAACCGACAACAATTAGTTTCGCACATACCTTATTATCGTACACTTCACGAATATATGCGTCGAATTAAACCACATTACTGTGATTTTTGAATAAACTAAAACATTTTTTACATATGCATTTTTGCAGAGGAAACTTATGATTAAAACCATTAATATAATTTGATTTGTTCATTATACAAATAAAAAAAACTTATATCAAATCTTATACATATTTACGTAATTATTTTTTATTTTCGTACGCATTGCAATAGTAAACGCCGTAGCGCGGCTACCCGCGCATCTATTACGCCCACAGTTAAAATCGTGCGCAGTGACTCGTACGATGCGCCGACACCTCACTTACCACGTCGTAAATACAATTTAACGGATAAACTATTTTTCTTAGTATATTATTTACACAATCATTCCTCTCTATGGCATCCCAAACATCTGTATTTCTTTCTGTCTTTACCGAGAGATATTTCTAATTAGGGGTATTCAGTATATTTCATTCGCTTTACCACTACTCCATTCAATTTTTGAACGCTTGCCTAATTTCTTCTAAGACTATTATTTAGTGTATTTTATAAATGAAAGCCATCAAAATACATTTTAACTTATCCTAATCGTGACTTTCAGTCTTAAATATATGCATTTATATAGTAAGTCTACCAAAGTTCGAGTTTTTGTCGTCATTTTTTCCGATAATGATTGCCTATTTATGCTAAGACGTAAAACGTAAAAACCTAAGACGTAAAGACCTAATTTTCAGTGTTCTATAAATAAAATCTTTCAAAATATATTTTAACCGATTCCAATACTGTCATTCCGTCTTAAATACTTTCGATCTTTTTTTAAGTTAAAGTAAATTGTAGTAAAAAGAGATTAGATGTTCTGATTTAAAGAATGTCAATGTCTTTGTTTTAAATGAACATGTCTGTTATAAAGAACAGAATTAGTTGTAACAAGATGCAGTTAGTATGTCCTAATTTTTCCCTTATGATTCCCAATAACTACCATTAAAGTAAAAAGAATGAAGTTTTCCCAAATAGTTCTCTACCGAAGCATAAGATGAACAGGCATATTAGTATTTAATTGTTAGTAAAAAGCATATTTTGTTAGTATAATTAGTTAATGAAAATAGCAGAAAAAAAATTGTTTTAGTTATTTACAATGAGTTCCAATGAAAAGAAAAAAAAAGATTTTATAATTATAATAAAAGAGAAGAAGAAAATTAAATGCATAATGAAATGATACAAAGAGAGTATAGCATAAATAGTTTTCATAATAAGTGAAATTATTTAAATTTAGTTTCAAGCATGTTAGGAAACTTTCATTCAGAACAAACTAGACTTATATTGGAAATCATTTGTTTGACTAAAACATAAATTGTTTACTTTAAAATATCTAATTGAATATTTCTGACTAAAGTATATTTTTGTTTTGTATATAAATTAGTCATTTTTTTTATATATGCTTACCGTTGGTTTGAATAATGTCATTAATGTCGAATACAGTTTCTCGCGCCTTTTATTTAGAAGATCTATTTGGTTATGCATTTCTAATGTAGCCTTCTGCAACTTTTCACACTTTTCTTTCATTAACTCAGCTCTGTAATATATAAAAGCGCTCTTTCTCAAAATTCTATATAGAAATTTTTATTCCTACGCATTAAATAATTTATTTTTTCGCGATGCAAAACTTTGGTTTTTAATTACATTCTGCGTTGCGCGATTTAAAAATGAATTCGCGATTTAAAAATGAATTCGCGATTTAAAAAGAATTCGCGTTTTAATATGCAATGCAATATTTTACACGAAATTTATAATTAAAAAATAGCATTGCCACTACACTTAGGAAAGACACGTTTGAAAATCCAAATAAATATTCTTTAATATTGAGTTCGCGTAAATAAACTCATATATAGAAAATCACATTATCCTATTACCTTAAAAGATTCTTCGGAACCAGTGTTTCTCTTCCATGTAAGAATCTGCAATCAGTCAGCACTTTTACAGTGAGTTTCCATTGTCTTAATACCTGTAAAGTAACAATATTGCTATCCCTTTCGTTCTCTTTGGAAAAATAGAGATAGCTATATTATTCTATTACAGGTCTTAAAACAGAGATGTTAAATGTTTCGACTTTTTGAATGATTTTCTTCTTGTTAACTCTTTTATTTTGTATATACATTTAATTCTTTATTATTATTTATTTACTATTATAAATTTTGCATTCTCTATATTTTTATAGGTTTTATTTTATGATGTGTTGCCAGATTTATTTTTAATCCTCTTAAAAATCTTAAAATGTTTATGTGTTTATTAACATATTTGTTAAATTTTTTTGTGTAATCGAGTTCTTGATCGTGGTAAATATCTTCACAGTTCTTGTATCGGTTTTCATATCTTTTGGTCATTTTAAATAAAAAATTTCCGCCATTTTAAAAATAAACTTTCATATATGTCTGCACGCACAGCGCAAAACAATGAGCTAGAGGCTTTATTGATGCTAGCACCAATCCCCGGGAGCACCCAGAGATAAAACAAACCGTAGAGTTCCACTGCCTTGAACTCTATTATTACTATCCCTTACAATCTTTTTGATACAAGACACAAATCGTGAGTTTCCGAGACCAAAATCCCCGTTTAAATCTCTGTTATGTCAAAAATGACAAAGGGATGATGATATGTTTTATGCAGAGATTTTGTTCTTAAAAAGCTACTGTAAAATATATATTAGTACAATTATCAAGGCAGTAGAATTTAACGGTAACACAATGGTGATAAGTTTAAAGAATTCGCGGATAAAATGCAGACAAAAACTAATCTTTATTGTTTATCACCGAATAATATACAGTATGTTACAATATACATACTTTATGGCGTTTTGTAATTAAATGCGAGCACCATATATTTGCAATAAGACGCCATGTGGGCCTACAGCGGTTGCAGGATAAAAAGCCTCTTATAATTTTATCCCATACAGCTTATATCTACAATCGTAATCCGCGTTAGGATGTCACTATTGTATAGACCAGTCTATCCTAGAGTGGGCGATAACGCCCCCTTGTGGGCGCTGCAGGTCTCAAGTTACGGGTTATAGTAAAAGTTTCCTTTAGAATTCTCGGTTAAATTACATATATAGGTCACAATAATTAATTAATTTAATTTGAAGTTTTATTGGTTTTTAAATATATGAAAATATAGGGGGCGCTAAAAAAATATTTATTCTCAAAGTGGGCAGTAGACATAATAAGTTTGGGAACCACTGGTATAGACTATCGCAACGAAATTCACAGAAGTCGCATAGGACACAAAAGAAAAGAGAAAGGGATACTAAATTGTGATGTGTGATTAAGGTTAACACAGAATTTTGTGCTTATTAAAATTCTTCAAACTTGGTCTAAAACAATTCGCTGTTACTAAATCTAAGAATATAAATTTGGTACAAACAAATGTTGGTATCCTTTTGTATTTTATTCCACTGATGTTACTTTAAAGTTAACTGTCGCATTCTGCTAATAATTGAAGAAAATATAACTACTACACGCCAGCAATGAATATGGCTATTTGCTGAATGGTTACCGAGGAGTTTCTTAACATTTAAACTTGAGAGCATTTCAGTCCTGTTATTCATTTTAGCAACACATCTTCAATCTTATTTCTAACTAAACACACATTCACCTCCACAGCCAAACTATTTCTCTCTATATTTGCATTAAACTAAATAATCCATCAAATACCCTTGCAATTTCAGAGCTTTTTTGTTCTTCCACAATAATAGTTCTCAAACATTTTCAGTCAAAGATATTTTCATTCACAATATTTTATTTATTCATTTATTCTTATATGGTAACACCTTCTATTCTTATCTTCCCTTTGATTATCATAAATATAGACTATATAAAATCATTCTAACGAAGTATTAAACGCAAGCATTAATATCCTATCATATAGATTCGCTGAGCAAAAGCATGTGCCAAATTTTTATACACAATTCGCTGGAATGTTTGGTTCGGTTATAAATACAATGCATTAAAACAATTTTTAGCAATTGTAAAATCAATATGTACACAATTATTACAACTGCTTAATTACAATACGATATTTTTTTTTTACAATTTAGAAATATTTATAGCCAAACTAAACAAATTTAACAAGATACAGTAAAAGTAAACACTAACCTCAATTCTATATATTTACAATTTCTGCATCTTTTTTTTTTATCACTTTCTGAATCAGGACCAACATCTCGGGACGAACCTGGAACTGATAAAATTTCGTGTTACAAACTATTACTTTGTTTATTTTCACAAACTAAAGTTGCTATTTAATATGCCTATGTCTGCCCATGAATGCGGCCCCCTAATGCTTCAAAAGAATTTCCACCTTCCCCACTAAGTCATGGGTCTAAATGGAGGAGGGGCTCTCCACACTATGTTATTATACAACCCAACCGAGGGGGTCAGAGCACACTCAATTTAGAGGTGACTGCGCTATAATCCACCAAGCTGGCCCAGTGCTGGTTGGCTGATATGTTGTACAGGACATTCTAAACCTTCTCATGTTTACATAATAAGGGTTACCACTACCATAACATACTTTGAAGATAATAAGAGAAACGACAATGTTTTTGTGGCACTGTAGAAATCCAATGTCAATGCGGTTGTTCAAAATTGGTTTGAAATTATGACAAACTTTTTACAATTCTCAATCTAAATTTTAAAACAATGAAGAAACTTAATAACTACACAAATAATCACAACCTGTACTGCATTTTACAAATATATTGCAACTAAAATAGCAAATTCACGAGTTATGATTATTTATGACTTATCCTATGTTTTGTTTTAGTAGGGTTATTGTAAATAAAGGATAGAAAATTTTGTGTAAGAAAAGGGTTTCACCAGAAATACCTATTTTGGAATTTTCTACTTTAAGGATAATGTGTTGTTTGTCTGTGGTCAAGGGTTTGCATTGGAAACAGGAATGCAGATACTCACAATTATCAATACACGGCCATTCACGTTTCAATGGTGATGTGCTGGGACTGTCTCTCATATCCGGAAATGGGCGAGCCTCCAATTTGCTTGTTGGAATACAACTTATAGGGAGAGGGGGTCTGATTTTTCTGAAATATAATGAAAATAGAGTTAATTAGACATTTACTATGCCAGAGTGTACCATCTTTCGACCACAACAACACTTAACATCAGCTGGGATTTTGGTCAAGCTTATTCATTATAAGAATTCTCTAAACTTTTTAATAGCAATAACATTAAAATACACTTACCTGAAGCGTAATGGAGGTGGTGGAACCTTAAATACAGGTGGAATATTCAGTGGAGCTTCTAAAAAATAAAATTAACACATCAGAGAATGTAACATATAAAGACTTATGTAAATGTAACATATTAAGATTTTAAATAATATTCAAGATATACTTTATAGTCTATGTTAGGACATCTAGGAAATCATATAAAATCATAAATATTAAATACATATATTTCACAAATGTAATTAGTAGCTCAATTAACAGATACTATCATGGATTCCATTTTGTTCTTTTAATATCACATGGTTTTTGTATTACTTTCTTTATAAGTAAATATAACAAAGTTGGAAAAAATAAATATCGAAAAGAATGCATTAGGTTATTTTTAATAAATAAAAAAGTGGATTATAGAGCAATTTCAACCAGAGGGTGACCACTAGTTATGATAAATACATACCCTGAGGTGGAGGTGGTGGTGGAGGCAGTATGGGTTTCTTATGATGAGCCAAAGCATTCGAAGGCAATTCCCCTGTTCTATAGAAGTGCTGCTCTTCAAACACTGATGCATGCACATACTTGCAGTTAGGACGAGTACAAACGTAATTTTGGTAGTTTCTACAAAATGTATAAACACCAAACAGTTGTGATATATCACATTTATGACTAAATTTGCATGTTCCCGGTCGTATACATGTTCCTCGTATAAAATCTCGACACATCGGTTTTGGTTTATCAGAGTCTTCGTCATCATCATCATTGGATTTTAAATCAGTACCATCTTGACTTAAGGCATCTGGTGACTCTTCGCCGGGGCTCTGATAATCTGTGTCTACAATTTCTTTTTTTAATTCTATATCCATATTTAATGGTTCATCAGGTGGTGGTGGATCTAGAGGCAAGGGAGGCTGCACTTCAGGTTTCACTTTCTCCTTTATCACATAGCTAGCAGCATATATATCAGACGGTGAAGGTGGCGATGCACGACTTGTAGATCCATCATGATCTATCTTAGACCTAATGTACTTTTTCATTTTATCACAATGAGGCGGAGATGTATCGTTCACACCTGGTCTTTTGCGGGAACCCGAATCTGTTGAAAATTAAGAATATTGCTAGGTAAGATAACATCAAACAGTAGGATAAAAAGTAAACTGTTGATGTTTTAGCATTTAATATTCTTTTCTAACATATCCAAAAAATTTAAAAAAAAATATTGTTAATTTTTTATTATTAAAAATAAGTTAAATATCAATTTATAAAAGACCAATATCTTGTGGAAATAAAAAACAATAACACATCTTGTTATATTTCTTACTTTTATAGGGCACAAAATGAGAGAGCACTCCCAAAATATTCTACAATAAAAAGATATGTCTGATGGTTTATATATATAAAGAGGACAAACAATCATTGATTTTATGATTTGATAGTGTCAAAAATTGTTTTAAAAAAAATTTAAACAGTGTTGAGTAGTGCATCAATATTTTTGATGTTAGATAAATTGTTAATATCTTTAGTTACTATGAGAAACTTTTGTAATGACTTCAATTGTTTGTTCTTAAATACAATCAAGCAATGTTTATTTCAATATCAAATTTAACGATATTTTATCATGCATAAAATATTCATATTAAATTGTAGCTTGTTTGTAAGACAAGTTGAGTTGAGGGCAGCACTATCACAAGTTTCGCCCTTTTTCTCAAAATGTCGGATTTTTCTAGTCGTGTATAATTCACTAATTTCTAATAATTATCTTGCAAGACAATTTTTTTTTAATAGGACTACATAAGTAATTCTCTATATACTTTAAAAAAACCGGTGTATATTATCGTTTCTGAAATATCAGGTTATTAATTTTTTACTGATATGAATTATATCAAATTTAAAAAAACAACGAATTAAACAAAATACAGCAGTTACTAACCTGCCTGCGTAACTTGCATTTACTCGAGTTGTCCTCTAAGTTCGGACTTCACGACACCAGTTAGGACCATGCATAGCAAAGATCGACTAGAAAATTGAATCCGTGCTCAGGAGACGGAGAATATTACAGCACCACTTTAACCACAGTTTGATAAACAACAAGAAAACAATAAAAATACCACAAGTTTGAATGTGCGAACAATTTACACATGAAGGTATCATAAAATGGTGACTGACAAGAGACAAGACAAAAAACAAAGAGTAATAAGTAGAGAGTAAGAGGGATATTTTGAATATTCATCATCGATGCGGTGAAAAATAAAATACAAATCCATGGAACAAAATTTACTGTAAAGGGGAATTATATTGATTATTATATAAATCATTTTACACTTTATAAAAAAATGCGAAAAAATCACTTTTTATTAAGAAGATTTCCTCCATAACCAAGGAAAGCCGTGCCCAAACGTCGTCGTTTTTTGAGCAATTAATTTATAAACTATTGTTTAAATACTAGAAAAAAGTTATTTCGTTTTTAAAAAAAATTAAAATCCACCAGATCAGCGTTTCAGGGTGAAAAGTTACCTAACATCATATCTTTTATACACTCTTTGCCTAACTCGTAAAATACGTTAAATGTTAATGGTAACACTCAACATAGATTTCAATTTCTTATCAGCTGTAATTTGACAATTCCTAATGAAAAATATTTGTGTTCAAAATCGAAACATAATTATATATATATTATTATAATAATTCAGTTTGATTTATTATATTTTTAATTGATTGATTAAATGTTTGGACACGAAGAGCAAAGACCGATATTCTTTTCACGGTCATATGTAACATAAAGCTAATATTATGAGTTATTAGGTAAAGGCGGAAAAATGAGTACGAAGTACATGGTTTCTGGAAATAACTTATTCGGACAGTGGTTTTTAAATGAGCCGATATTAGAAAAGTTTGAGTTATTGCCAAAAAACAACAGTCCAGCACTTAAGTTCGATGATTTAGACATTAAAGACCTTAAATTATTGCATATGTCATGGTCTTACAATATTTTTCAGAGTCGAAATGGATTATATGTATCCGGAGCCTGGGATAACAATGAGAATGTTATGAAAAGGCTGGATATATTTACTGAAAATGAATTTAGGGCTACAGATTTATTAGCTGCGGGTAATGATGACTGTCTTTATGTTGTAGATGTTAATAGATTAAAATTATGGATAATAGACCCTGCATCAATTAAAACATCTAAATTTCATCCTCTGGATTTAGAGTTTAATACTCTAGGAAAGATGGAAGAAGAAAAGAATAATGTTAAAGTTGTAAAGATGATTGCATCAAATAAATCTGTTTATTTTTTAACAAATGGAGGCTCTATTTTTAGTGGAGTACCACCAAGATACTTGGATACAAGTCATTGTTTAGGAACAGTTTGTGATATAGCTTGTGGATATGATCACTACATTCTCCTTACTGATGTTGGCCAAGTTTACACATGGGGAAGTGGAAAGTAAGTTCATTTTGATTTGTGCATTTACTGCTCCATTGAAAGATTTATTATAATTTTTATCATTTAAATTAATGTAATCAATTGTTCAAAAATTTACATGTTGTTTATGAAAGTAACATACTACTAGTAAATATTAAAAAAAAAGATTTTCTAATATTAATTATAATAAAATTTAAATTATGAATATACTCAACTAGTATCTACTAACATTAACAGTGGTAGATGTCAGCAACATCTTTTATATAAATGGGATAGCTCGCCAATGCAATACCACATCCCCACAGTAGACAGGTCTGAAGTTAAAATAATTCTGCGTTTTGTCTGATCAATGTGTGTGCCGGTACCTAATTTTAATCCTACCCACCCTTTTCATATAAAGATGGGAAGAAGAAGTATATTAAATCATTCATGTTTTTCAATTATAGGAGATTTCAACTAGGACATGGTGATATTGATGATTTGGATAAGCCTAAAGAAGTGGATGCATTAGCTGGAATAAAAATAGCAAAGGTTGCTGCGGGAGGTTTTCATTGTTTAGCTCTAAGTGAATTTGGAGATGCTTACACCTGGGGTTGGAATGATGAAGGTCAACTTGGTGTTCATTACGATGATGAAGATCCAAGTGTTGAAAATTTAATTCAATATTCAATACCAAAATTAATAGACATATATTATGAAAATGATGGAAATATTACAATAGATATTGTTGATATAGTCTGTGGTTCGAAACACTCAGCTTTAAAACTTGAAGATAATACAGTTTGGATGTCTGGTTATAACAAATATGGGCAATTAGGTCTGCCAACAAAAATATTTCCATTTGTTAAATATTTTAAAAAAGTATATGAATCTTGTGATGATTTCAAGGTTATTTGTGGAATATGGTCAACAGTCATCGAAATAACAAGTAGTTAATCAAGGTTTTGTTAAAATTTAACTTCTATTTTAATCTTTTCATATATTGTTCTTAATCCATACCTAATTGGATTTATTTTTCTACATATGTTGTAGGAAAGTAATCAACAGTGCATAGATTTTCTAAACTCATTAAGGTTAAATAGAAAGACCACTGTTATAATATGTGAAGGGAAAACATTGTGTACCACATGTTAAGTAAAGTACCTGGATGACCGAGCTTTGCTCGGTATTTTTGTTAAAAATTGTGTTTTTTTGGAAATTATATTTAAGGACGAATTACTAATAAAATGATGAAAAATGAATAATATTTTTCGATCTTACCGATAGATAAAGTTGAGTTTATGTTTAAGTTGATTATCGATAAAATACGAATAAAATGACATTTTCTAAAAATGATTCCTAGCTAGATAGATTTATCGCCCCCGAAACCCCATATACACTAAATTTTATGAATAAATTCAGATGTTTATGAAATAAAGTGAAAAAATATTTCAAGCAAATCATTTATTCTTTTCATCTATAAATTCTTTAGTATAATAAATTCTTTTTTTTATTACAAATCATTAACAAAACTAAGGTAAAAGTACTAATACACGACATTGAGTTTTAGTGTATCAGTTTTTCTAAGTAAAACATTTTTTGAAAACATTAATAACTTTTAATTTAAAAAAATATATAAAAAACTGTCATATCAAATATAATACAAGCTATGTTACATGGACTGAAATATAAAGACAATAATAACGAAACATATAAGTTATATAAATAAAGATATGTCATATGAGTTCTTAATACTTTTTAAATAAGAGATTCCGCAATATCTAACTGTATGTCATAAAAATTTCGTCTTACAATTATTAGAAAACTTTAACAAATAATGGAATGAATAATTTTATTTAAAAATTTCTATATTACTCAACTTTTCAGTACTTTTATAACAAATGGAAAAAAGAGAAAATTTATAATAAATATATTGTTATGAAAACGACATCTCCGTACTAAAGATAGAATATGTTCTTCAAAATATAAGAAGACTATGTTATCTACTTAGTAACTGATGTCAATTTTCCACAAATTTCAAGCTTTCTTTTTAACAGATAATTTGCATACATTTCAAAAATTTTCCTTTCAATCTTAATAAATTTTTTAGCTACACTCAAAATAAATACAATGTGATATCATAATTGTCTTAAAACTAAACATATGTAGCTTTATGTCATTGCTTTTCTTATGGTGGGTTTCTGAGATCCAAATCCTTGTTTAAAACATATTGTTATCTCTGCTTTGTTAAAGATATAAGGATGACGATATGTTTTAGACAGATTTTGAGCTCAGAATCCAACCGTCATTGTATTACAACATAACTTTGCATTTCCACTGTCAAAACATATATACAAAAAATATTGTTTTATCTTTTTATCCAAGATAATGAGAGGAATACGTTTTTTGCATATCCTTCGGCATTGGAAACCCGCATTAAGTTATTACAATTTGTCATTTTCTTGTTTGTATAATTCATATCAAATTATATTATATAAAAAAAAATCAGATATATCGCAGAGATGCATATATTATATATAATTACAAGCGAACCCGACAGACATTGTCCTGTCTACACGTCTTTAATTTGAATAAATTAATATGAAATTAATATTTGATGAAAATTGTGAATCTCACCCACCAACCATTCCCAGATCCCCTTGAACACACACAAAAAATTTCATCAAAATCGGTCCAGTCGTTTGAGAGAAGTTCAGTGAGATACACACTCACAGAACAATTATATATATAAAGATATATTTTAGATTACAAATTAATATTAGAGATTCATAGTTTCATATGTCTTTAGTCATTTTACAAATTTATGTCAACATAAAATACAATATTGGATACAAAAACTTCAAACATAAATGATATTATAAGCTTTGTCTATATTATTGTCGCGCATCAGTATTTTTATCTAACGTATTCTATTTCAATCCCTGTTTGTGCTTAAATTCAATGTCACATATACGTCAAGTAAACAATTTCATCACTTTTATCACTATTCGTATCGTCGTCACACAAAACGCTATAATTTTGTACACAAAAAGAAAATCATAAAATATCAATCACAATATCTCAAGCACCAAATAAAAATGGACGGTTGATTTTATCACTAATCGAGGTTAAACGTATACTTCGCCTCTCTTGGAGCCGTTCGGTTTCCTCGTGAATTCTGGAGCTGTCGCTGTGCTGGTAGAACTATGCTCACTATCGCGATCTGACGATGCAACTTCAACTACTGTTGTACGTGGAGATAAAGGTGTAGCAATTACTCCTTTACCTCGTTCCGTACGAGGCGTTGAGGGCGCTGACCCATTAACTAATGTCAACTGAGACACTCCCATGGGTGATAACGTGACAGACGAAACAACCGGAGCAGCCGTCAACATTGGTGCTAGTCCTGTTGAAGTCAGGTTAGGAGACAGCACTGCCTGAGCGAGCGCCGTTGTCCCTGGTTGACCGGCGTGGAGTGTGTTATTCACTGATCCACTATCTAATTCTTGTATAGGTGAAAGAACTAATGCACCGAGTACAGGAACTTCGTTTTGATATCCCTGATGTGCCATTATAACACCCATATTCTGCATGCCCACTGCGAGCCTGTTTTCGCGGTCTATAACTTCTTTGGTGACATCAGGTGTGGGGATTCGAGGTCGGTTCCGGAGTGTTATTGGTATCGCGGATCCATTGCTTTTTTGTCCACCTGAAAATAAATACAGTAACAGAATTAAAGTTATCAACGTATTTGAAAGGATTTTGATACTAAAGTTTTCTATATATTACCATGTTTTGAGTTCTGCCTATGTTGGCCACGAACCGATTTCCGTCCTACTAATCTTTCGTATAGCGACATCTTGTGATGTGGCGGCGCAGCAGCTGTTGCCTGACCAGCTTCAGGACTAGAATACACGACAGAATTGTGTCGGTTCCTTCCGAAAAGACCACCTGAAGAATACGCGGTAGACGCTGAGCGTACAGATTCCATTCGAGATATTTGCCTTTGAAACCAGTTCTTTCTTCTTTCAACTAATGGTGTATCAACACTCTCCTAAAATTAAAAATAAAGAAAAATCAATTGCTGTATGTTAGTCTCGCTAAAACTCAATAACGGCTGAACGGTTTAATCTTATTTTGGTCTTGAAATGTTCGTGGAGCTCATGAGAAGGTTTGAAAGGTAAGAAAAATTCGAATAATTGCCAAGAATTAATTAAGGTTTTAATAAAGTCGTAGTAATGTTCAATTTCACTTTAAAAAGAAAATGTAATGTACACTTACATAATCTGCGTATGTTTCTTCGTTACTTTTCCTTGGTATTTGTACATTAGCGTATACGGCGTCTTCAGCTTTGACTTTGTAGTGATCTGCAGAACAAGGTGGCTCGTGACGACGGTAATGTTCTGATGCGACGGTGTACGGCAAATCTTTAGGCACCACTTCTTCCCAATATTGGTCCTTAAGAAGTTCTGGGTGCTCTTCGTGCATTTCATCCACTATCATATATGCAGCCTGTAAAGTTATAAAAATAAGTTAATAACTGTTATTTTACTATACAACTAGATGGCGTTAATTTCTATTAATCTACTAAGAATCTACTTTTTATTTGAATAAAAATTACTCAAGTTTTTCGAAAAAAAATAAAATTTTGCTATGTAGCCAAAATGTTTTATAAGCGTTTCAATGATATTGATAAGTTAAAGATTTTTGTCATCTTATCGATAAGGTTTTTATCGAGTCGTCGGCCTGAATGCAAAAATAAATCGGATTAATTGTGAAGGTTGAAAGAGAAAGTTTTTAGTTTTTATATTTACAAACCTTGATGTGCCTGTCGATAAGCCAGTTCAACTCGATATCGTCATCGTCCTCGCCGAAGGGATTTATAAGTACCTCGGCTACCTTCAGCCAGCCAACGTAGAAGCAAAACTGTAATCAATATGTTTTGTTTAGTCTATAGTTGACAAAAAACTATAAGAAAGCACTTACAATTCATATTAAGCCACCTTACTAACTTCGCAGGAAAAACTGCGAAATCTACGGTTTAACTGTCAATTAAAATTTAACCTCCAAACTCCTAGTTCTAACTGTACTGTTCGATTATTCAGTTATAACTGAAAGTGTGTAGCGGCCTTTATTCACCAATAAAGAAGACATTAGTTTTAAACAGCCAATTATTTTTATACTGATTGTCATTTGTTCTGAAGTAATGACAGCGTATAGGAGAAATGACACAACTCGTAGGCTCTGAAGATAGCACGAGTCGTTGCGCAGAAAACAATTGTAGGTGTGGCGGGGAGTAAAGGGATGGGGGGAAGGAGAATTGCGCTGCACACATGCGCTTGCGGCTGACCTTGAGCCGATAAAAAACTGAAGCGGACAATACAATTTAGAAAAAAATAAGAATTGTTCTTGTAACATGAAAATTCTGTAATGATCACTTCGTTGTTCCCCCTACAGGTTTGCCTCTTTGTCATATATTAAAAAAATCATATAGGTTTGTAACTATCGGCGCTCTTGTTTCATATTTTATAGATGACTATATATAATGGAGCCAGTAATATTAAGCTATTTCATATGATTTAGTGAAGCAAAGTAACGCGAAATAACCGGTCCCAAGTCTTTTCCTCTGAATGAGTTTTTATGTTATATACATGTATATAATTTTTATAGCAAAGTTTTGGCACGAGTGTTGCTATGCTTAAACCTGTTTGTTAATTCAATTATTACTATTATAACTGCCGAAAGCGTCACATTGGAGAAAGTTGAAATTACTAGATAAGTTTTTATATTAATACTAGTTGTCGCCGGCGATTACTTTCGCGCAGTATTAAAAATAAAACTTAATTAGTAGCCTATGCATTCTAGACTGAATTCTACATCTCTGCCGAATTTCAGCGAGATCTATGAAGCCTTTGGAGATACCTTCAAACATCCATCCATCTAAACATTCGCATTTTTAATATGTGTTAGATTTTTGCTTTATTACACGAGTCGTATGTGTTGTATCAAAAAGGAGACATTTTAAAAGTAAATAATTTAAAAGGTAAGTAGAATTGCAAGGTTATGAATTATTTAAATCACTCTTGATTAAAATTTACTCCAAATCGAAATTAATGCATTAAGGTCAAGTGATTGTGTTGTATCGTTATTGAAGTTTTTTTTTAACGTTGAGAGGCATAAAAATATTTTAGGCTTTTGACCGTATCATAATAAGTAAATTAAAA